GTCACGTGACTAGTGCCTGAGGCAGAGAGGGTGCTCTGTGATCTGAAGGATCAAGGTGCAGAGCAGCAGAGCATCTGCTCTGTAAGATCTGAGGATCCAAGCACAGAGCAACAGAGCAACTACATATTCCCTTTGTATCTAACTTACATATATAGGTAGGACGAATGGACCTTATGTCTGTTCGTGTTGAACTCATGTTACCAACTTACCCATTGGAATACAAAGCCCCTTCTCATATCCCTGTTGCACCACTTATTCTCAAGAAGCCACCTCGAGTAAACCGCCTTTGGCAGTTGACCCGTAACACTGCTTCGTAGCTCGAGTTGGTGAACCTTAGCAACGGCATGGCTCGACAATGATATTCCGCAGTCTATTTGCTTTCGAAATCCCTTGTAAATCGAAGTGCTCAGTTTGAATTCGATCGACCTTGACGACAAGGATGTCCATTGGCCGCAAACTGCTGACCGTTCCTGCAGACGATCACGAGTAGATGCGATGCCAACTTGGCGAATATTCTGTCGCGAATCTGCTGAGTTGAGATCTTGTGAGTCAGATCGAACTTCATGTGGTCTTTAGCTTCCCTACAAATCATTCATATCACGCATTTGGAAGTTGGTGTGAGAGACGCAGCTGACTTCGCCGCCAGCTCGAGAAAGGAAGATAACTTCATTCTCATTCCGCCCACTGGCAAGAGTGCTGAGTAGAACCTGTTCTCGGCACGGCATCATTGCCATATCTTGTTTATTTTGTATTGAAACTCTGGTTTGCACCTTCTAGATCGTGCTCGTGGGTGCCACGATCGCCGCTGTCGTGGTCGATTTTGTCAGGAAGCATTCCGTGTCGAAGTAAGTGAATAAATCAGGACCCTTAGCGGTGGTCTCGGCGATAACCTGCTTCGCCTTCCTTTTCTGGTAGAGTTCGCAGTATCGAATTCCATCAGCTCGATATCCGTAGGAGACCGAGTAGATATACAGTGACTGGAGGATGGTATAATCCTCAAAAGCCGATGTAGTACAATTGTAGAGACCGCTTTCATAAATGCCGTCGGCATTTAACCGGCCTCCTACGCCGGTTCGACTCTCTTGCGATATGACACCGCAGTCAATTCCGACGGTTGTTGTAGCTGTATGGTCGATTAATTTCAGGCCATTTGACGTGTTTCGGGCGCCAGAGGAATATGAAACATGACTTTACACATACCTGTGGCGATGGGCACATATGAGACGAGGCTTTGCAAATCGGTCGGCGACACAGTACTTGTGATCTCTGGTGCAGTTGAAGTGACAGTAGCCGTTACTGTGACCCGAGGTGCTGCCAATTCGCAGGCAGAAGTGATGATATTTGGTGCAAAGGTTTTCAATGGGCCTGCTGCTGTGCTTGTTAACCTACGCCGCTGCAGAGCATTGGTGCTGTAAGCCGTCGTGGTTCGAGTGTAGGAATCCGTGGTGTAGTAGGTCGTTGCGTAGATTATGTCGACATAGATACTCGTCGGCGTGACCGTTGTGGTGGAGGTCACGGTGCTTGTCGGTGCCGTGTACCCAAGAATGCTTGAGCAGAGAGATTGAAGACCGCTCTTGATGATGATGTTGCTAGCTGCTGCAACTGCAGGATCACTGTACGGGACTGATGGAACCTGTGCTCCCGCATGAGCGTATGAGGCCATGGCAAGCAGCCATGTTACGGAAAAGTTCTGCATCGTGGGATAGCGCGAAGACTAGTCGGCGAAGAAGATGGACGTGCATGAGGAAGGGACGGACTTGTCTTATAGACGCAAACGGGAGTCTATTTGCTTTTGATGCCGCTAGTCATAGCTGGTCGCGAGCTTTGGCGCAGACGACCATGAGCACCAATGAGGTTACAATGCTCGGTATAAGGCTAGTCCGGGTGATGCAAGTTCGCCTCTGGCCTAGATGAGACCATCCATGTTGTAAGATCCATGTTGACCACAGTCGAGGCGAGAAGTGGAGATGAAGGCTTGAACGCGGCCAACCACTAGGAGCGATCCGCCCGGTGTTTCGCGCCTTTTTCGCACTAGCGTCCAATCGCCTGGGGTGGGGTAAACATCCACAAGAGGCTGCGCAGCACGACACACAGTAGAGAAGGACATTCCTCGCGCTGGACGAGTTGTCGTGGAACCGTCTCGATTACCTAGATAGAATTAACATGCTGACAGCAGATGTAGTTCCCTCGACCATTCAAGACATCATAGATTGCGATGTGCATGCACGATGCACCAGTGACTGGTCTTGTCTCGCAAGATTCAGCTGATGCGGAGGGATGCGTAGTTGATACTAGAGCATCTCCTCAAATGGTCGTCGGATCACGGGAGCTTGGTTGCGTTTATCCAGCGGAAGTCCTCCAGAATCGATGAGGGGACATACACAAGTCCTTGCGGAGCAAACGTCATTTCGTACATGCTTTGCAACTTGTCCAGCGTAAGCGGCTCATCGAGTCGATAGCCCGAAGTGATCTTGTGGGCATAATCATATTCGTCCCAGTCTTTGTGGTGTTCGTTGTATTCCTTGTTATCGATTCCGTTCTCTTCGGGTAGGGCATCGCCAACATTGCGAGTTTGAGCTGGAAGAATCTCGCAGATGTATTTAATACTTGAGTGGAGTGCAGTTCGATAGAACCAAATTCGCTTCACTGATGAATTGATGAGGTATTTTCGAAACTCGTGCGTCTTCTCGCCGGTGACTCTCTGTTGCATACAAGGCTCTTACATCGCCAGAATAACGTCCAAACAAAGGCTTGCTGGCAGCTGCTCGTGCCTGAAATTGTTGATTCCTGCATGTCCATTCATTCTGGCGGCACAACCGATCGATTCGGCGAGATGATTATCATCTAACAACTGGTTTGCTACAGGCTTCAATCATACAGTGTGTGGCCTTCATTGCATTTTACAACCTCAGTACCAGCAGCGTTCGAATCCGCTCAAGAGTCAAGCTTGTTCAATTGTCCCGCGTGTCATTCGCGCGAGAAAGCTCCCTCCAACCATTCATACAAGCAAGATCAAGTGGGCGTTTCGACCATGACATGGACACGCATTGTAGCCAGAGCGAGAAGCAAGCATCAACAATTCGAAAATCCTCCCATTCAATCTCATGTCATGCGTTCTAACTCCGGAAACGATCACCCAACACGGCTTCCGAAATCTGCCAGCAGCCTGAGTTGCCTGTCACCCACGAGCCGTAATCATCAGCATAACGCTGCTCTGGCCCATAGACCTTGACAGTGTAATTGCTTCTACCAACGGCACTACAACACTCTGTGGCATTCACCATCACGCATTGGCCGTGAGCATCTTGATATTCATTGTATTGCCAGTAAGCGATGTTCGGGTAGGAGTAAGACCGAACGCAACACTCCACAGTACTTGCAGCTTCGTCTGAGTAGAATGCGCCACCAGTATCGAGCAATCGATTGTCTGGAGTCATGGAATTGATCTTGCCGCTGCTGGAATTTTGGTACACATTGACGAAATTATCAGTCGCGCAGGCAGCATACACACTTGTCGCCGAGACCGTCGTGGTTTGTGTGGGTAGAGTGACAGTGGTTTCCGTGGCCACCGTATGAACGGTATATGTCAATGTGCCGGTGATGTATGCCGTGGAAGGCCCAGTATAAGTCGCTTTGATCGAGCTGAATCCTACGTTGTCATACTTGTCTGTGTAGAATTGATAGATGGTCCCGGTCAAGGTTGTGACTGTAGTCGCAGTAGCTCGTGATGCTGAAACCGTCACCGTTTTTGTGAAGGTTATACAAGCAGTAGCTGCACCGAGGTTGGCCCCGGCATTTGCGTCACGTCTCTGAAGATATTTTGCAGCAAGGGAGGCTTTAGGAAGAGAGATACCAATTGGTGTGAATCCAGCAGGCGTACCAACACCCACGGTTTGCAAAGGGCCGAAAGTCTTGGTTGGGGTATCGAAGCTGGTAAAGATGAGAGGATCTTTGGCGGTAACTGCTGTTAGAGGCCCGCCGGTATAAAGAGTCACAGGCTTTTCTTGAATGGAAGGGGTCAGCTCGAAGTCCTTTACCGTTGTCGATCCATGATCGATAGCATACGTGATGGTCGTCGGAGATGGTCGAATTGTGGTCGTGACCGTCACAGTTTTCGATGCACATGAAAGTTGAAACGTTGTCTTTGTTGACTGCAGTATTCCCGTCTTCGATCCAGACTGCTATATCACGGTCATTATATGTCTCAACTATGCCTGAAAAGTCCTAAAAGTCAGAAAACAACTTATTCTCTCGCTACTGAGAGATTTTGACAATTTGCTGCTTGATGTGCTAGGATTTGGCAGAGTGGCAGCAATTCCTAAATCGGCACAGATGCTTTCAACAACCAAGCATGCAGAGAGGAACCTCATTTCAGATTCTGCGCCAATCGAAGAGGCTTCAGTATCAGTCGATAAGTCGATAGAGGATAGCCAGTCACAAGATAAAGCCTGATAGACCAATTGAAGGAAGTGGTAGCATTATGTACATCTTCTCTACCTCGTCTCATTTAATCCGGCTCTGAGGGATTGAAGGGGAGGATTGAAGGGACTATTGGCAAAAGGCAGGAGGGCTGTCTTTCGCGCCTGCTCGTCGATGATTGTGGCGTCGATGAAGATGCAGATCATTTGTCACTTCCCCGCTACGAAGGACAGCCATCTGCAGGACACGAACGATGCCTATGACGCATCTTTGCAAATACTCAAGTACATATTCATATGGCAGCGCCGTAAATACACGACGTACATCATGTTGCCTCGGCGAAGGTCGAACTAAGCTTGTCTTGAAGTCTATCCTGGGCGATCTCATGCAAGTTGTCTTGTCGTGGCTGTGTTAACGCGCATCCAGGGCGGAACAAATTTGCCCATATTCGATCCGCACATCGCGCGAATATTGAAAAGTCCCGCACTCGTGGACAACATTCCTGCAATTGTTCTCCTTATGTTACCGGTAGGTCGGGCGAAGAGAAACTGGGTGTAGAAGCATGCTTGCTCCTGTGTGGACATGCGCGCGCGACTTGAGGGCGAAAAGCTTCGCCTGAGACACATAAGCTAGAGCGACTCGACGGCGTTGTCGGTATCTATTTGGGTACGGCAGTTACCTTTTTCTATTGCGAACGACATTTTTACACATGGTACGTCATATAAATGATCAGTCCCTCCGCGTGTCCACGAAGAGCCTCAAATATCCAGCCATATATGTAATTGCTACAAGTACAGGGCAGTAACCTGTTAAGCTCGGCATCAGAACGTTGTTGATTTCGTCTGTTTTTGGAGACTTTCCCCAAAGACAGTCATATAGCCATGTTCATCCAGGTATCGACGAAACTTGGCGTCTTCGTCTTCGAGATTCCGCTCGCGATCAGGAATGAGCGTGTACGAAATGACTCCGCCAACTGCGGCAAAGGCGGCGCCTATCAGGAACACCGCTTGCACTCCTTGGAAATCGTTGGAGAAGGAATTCTGAATGGGGGTGAAGACTTCCGTCCCGATGGCGGCTCCTGCCTTGCCGACTGCTGCTGCAAGGCCGAGGAAATGACCACGGATGGGCGTTGGAAAGCTCTCCGCGCTACAGAGAAAGGTCGCAACTCCAGGTCCCATCTCTCCAAATGCATTGAAGATTCCGTAGAGCACAATGAACAAAGCCGGTATTCTCTGGATTGGCCCCAGTGCACCACCGATGACGAAGCCCATCACCGACCAGCAAGCAAAGCCCAGGGTCATGGTCTGCTTGCGCCCGATTCGATCCATGAGCATTCCACCGACGATGCAGCCAGGAAGGAAGAAGCAGTTCACGGCGGTCCCGAGTCCGATGTTCTGCACGAGTGTGTCGTTGGGATTCAGCTGGCTGACGATGGTGCTTGAGAACAACCCAAACGGGTATGTGACAAAATCGTAGGCAAACCAAGAGAGGGATGTGCCCAGCATTGGCTTCCAGTAACGCTTGATAATCAACCAGTAGGGGATGTCTTGCTTCATGGCATGCTTTCGATACTGCGTTGAGTCGACCATTCGGATTCGAAAAAAGAACAAAAACAACGGCAGCACAAAGCCCAACCCGAAGCAAATTCTCCAAACCCCCTCTGGTGTCTGGAAATTGTATGCTGCCAACACAATGAGAGCGACACATCCCGCAATGACAAAGCCCACGTCGATGGCGAAGTTCGTGGTAAGCGCTACAAGAATACCGCGTCTTTTTTGAACATATTCGCTCTCATCCGAGGCCTCTGTTGAACCCGTGGCGCACACTGGATACTGAAATGATGTGAGTGAATGCATGTTGGTGACGATGAAAATGGTCTCACCTCGCCCCCGGCACCGAATCCAGCTATACCCCTGCCAATAATCATCATCCAGAACATACCGAGCTGAGAATTGCCCTTCGCAGCAGCTAAAGAATCTCATCAGTCACATTGATTAGCATTCCACGAACAGAGTCACTCACTGGCAATGACTATGCCCAATACCAGGAACAACGTGGCAAAGACGATACCAGTGCGTCTTCCGAGCTTGTCAATCGTCCAGCCGAAGAAAAGCATGCCGAAGATCTCGCCAATGAGATATGAATTTGTGAGCCTGGAGCTGATGGTACTCGACATTGCATCCTTGTAGAGTTCTTTGAAGAGAGGCTTCATGTATCCAATGATTTGTGCATTGTACCCATCGCTGAAGAGGGCAAGTCCGGAGACGATCACTGTGATTATGGACGATATGCGAGTGATCCTCTGAATTTGCCCATCTCGCACCGACTCTCCTTCGTTCTTCAACTCTTCCGACGCGGTGCCGTCCTTGACTTCCACCAGGCTCGCAATATCGGACTTGATGCCTTCGATCATCGTTTCCGTTTCTGGCATAAACTTGGCTTTTGTTTCTTGAGCTGGACGTCGCAAACGCGATTCCGAGCTTCTGGAAAGATTCCAGTGTCTGATCGACAACTTTCAAGCTGCATTATATGTTCACGGGACAGGGTCTTGGCATGGCCATGCACGATAAGGCGAGGGAAGACCTCCCACGCGTGGCTTGATGCATGCACCCAACATTCCAAGGCCGGTGACCAGTGAAGTCTACCACGTGGCTCTAGATATATCGCTTGCTTGTCTTCTCAGTATACATATGTTATGAGACAACAGCGACTTGCTTTCAGCCTTGGTGCGTCGCCGCCGCACCTCCGACGCCAAATTGCGGGCGAGCTCTTTGGGGGAAAGCTCGGCTGAAGCTTGACGGGGCTCGGCCGAGCTGCCGTCGATCAAAGCTCCATCGCAGCTCAACCAGCCCTCGGTCTTCTCTCCGCAGATTCCCGGATTAAGATTCGCCGGCGGGCGGCGACGGCACGGCGCTGTTGCCCCATTGGAGACGAACGTGGGATGTGAACCCGAGAGTCGCAACATACAGTAATGTCGACAGCACGCAAGACGGTTATCTTGCCACCTCCATGTAGATAGGTCGCTTTTCAGCGCAAGCCCATGGTACAGTGACATCGTTGACGCAAATGACTGATCACCGGTTATCCCTGTTGCCGTGATACAGGAATTGGTCTTGTCGGACGGGAACTCCGACAGCTCAGTAAAGATGAGTCGATGCTCTACTTGGTTTTCGATGGGTGGACAGCGGATGCTTATTTCATTGGTCTTCAGCAATGTGGGTGTTGGGATTGTTATCTAAATGGCCGTTCAAATGAATGGTTTCCTGTAACAATTCATGAAACTACCACACCACTGATGACTGTCGTGCTCCGGGAGAAGACTGCAACGAGAAGCATCGCACATGGACCACGCTTCATTCTAGCCTTTACGCTTTGCCTATTCTGCCGCTTACATGCTGAGCCAGAATTTCCGGCGTTCGCACCGACAACATCACGGCGAGACACGGATGATGTGTAAACGTGTGTGAATTGATCAATTTTAAGTTCCGCGCCATGGCATTCTTTATCCCACGCACGGCTGATGCGATCTGAGATAGAGACAACGCAGACCACAAACTTCAAGCAGCCACCCAGAAGTCACGATGGCTACACCCCGAGAGAAAGCGTTTGATATAATTCAACTCCTCAAGGACCGAGGCGAAGACGACTATATCGGCGAAGAAGTGTCCCAAATAGCGCACTCACTGCAAGCTGCAAATCTCGCCAAGACGAGCAATGCAGATGACGAGACCATCGTCGCAGCTCTGCTTCACGATATTGGGCATTTCCTCCCTCCGGACCAAGTTCGATCGATAGCGCATGAAGTTCGACACATGTCCTCGTCGGGCGATTCCTCCGATCAAGGTGTCGGTCGCATCGGACACGAGCGCATAGGCGCGGAATATCTGCTTCGCGTCGGCTTTCCGCGCAAGGTCGCGGCCCTTGTCGGCTCTCATGTTGTAGCCAAGCGATATCTCTGCGCGACGGATCAAGGCTACCATTCCACGCTATCCGATGCGAGCAAGAAGTCGTTGATCTTCCAAGGAGGCCCGATGGAGGGCGATGAGCTATCCAGGTGGGCGGGAAATCCTTGGTGCAGGGAGATGTGCCAGCTGAGGAAATGGGACGACCGTGCGAAAGTTGTAGGATTAGAGGTACCGCCGGTCGAGGCATATCAGGAGGTTATCGAGCGTTTGCTTACATGATTCAATGCTGATACAAATCGCGATCTTGTGGCTTCGATTTCGAATAGAGTAGCTGCAAATGCGGTTTACAACGCATCACACGCGCACAGTGTACGGAATCCCACTAACTCATGGGTTTCCAGCCCGGTCTCAACCACTTTTGATTGCTACTCTAGAATCGTCATGTTGAATATGCACCTGGCAGCAAACCACCATTCGGCAACGCATCGTTCGATGCGAGTAAGTCAAATTCGCCCATGAGGAGGTTATCCCATGGCGCGCCGTTCCAGAATAACGAGCCGTCGAGGAGATTATCATCGCCAATGGTGTGATGGTGTTCCACAGTACCAGGTGGGTGCGCCGGGTCTGCGGTACAATCGAGATGTACGCGATCGCTATGACAGCCGTCTGCTGCAGTCGTGCATTTCTCGAGCAAATCAGCAGCTCCGTGTACGACGCTTACCAGGAGATGGCTCCGATGCATGCCAGCAGTTACTGTCTTCAATACCGAGATGACTTCGGCGACAAGGCTGTGCATCTCACCCGTGTCCACGCGCACGACGAACGGGCTGTACTTTGGCGAGGAGACTTTGAGGAGGAAGACGATGACAAACGCGATCATCACATCGAAGTAGGTCGGGAGCCCGTTCAGATAGCCCTGGATCTCGGCATCGTGAATGATCGCACGCAGTATGGCTGTCGCGGAAAGTAGAGCGACACGCGCGAGCTCCTCAATGTCCAAGGCGACTGAGACATCTTTGAAGCCCGGACGATCAACGCCGCGGAACGCCATGGAATAAAGGTAGAGCTTCGCGAAGTGGTAATGGAGGCCAACGCCTTTCCGAGGGTAGTTTCCCACGTATTCGTTACGCGTGAAACGCTCGGTCCAGTCCGATCGGACGCCGTCAAGTTTGATGCTTAGGCGTCGGAGAAGTTCGATGGTGGACAGGTCGAGTGGTCTATCAACATCCACACCGAATGTCGAATGACCTTCGGTTATTGTCGTCCAGAAATGAACCTGAGAGACCAGGCGGAGGTCATCTTCACATATGTGCTCGGTCTCGATGAACCGCGATGCGGCGCTGATAGAATCGCATTGACGTGTCATGGGCGGTCGACCATATGCGATCGAGGATTGATGATCGCAAACGTAAACGAGGTAGTATAGACGCGTCCGAAGGTAGTGGTCCCGGTCTCCCGAAAGCGCCTTGAAAATGCTCCTATGTAGTTGAAGCTCCGTAGCAATGCGAACAGCTGATCCTATGCATGGCCAGGTGATGCCGCTCAGCCAGAATGCCGCAATACACAGACCTCGGACATCGTCCACATTATTTCGGCGCGAAAAGGTCTGAGCGGCGGCTATTGCGACGAATTCCTTGTAGCACTTTTCAAAATCAGCGCAAGTCAAATGTAACGCTCCAACCGTGCAGACGGCAGCGAGGAGGAGCGGTGACGCAGACCGAACTTCTGCGAGTGTACGTCGATCGCCTAGAATACGATAGAGAAAATGGTCCAGGCGATTTTGATAGACGTCGAGATAAGATTGAGCTCGTTCAAGGGTGACAATGCCACGACGTATGACATCCTGTCCCGCCCGGTCTCGAGACTGTCCATCCGCTCCGATAACCGGAGACACCACTGAGCCTGGAAGTGCCGCTGGTCCCGATTCCGGATCCATCACGATCTCAAAATTCTGAGGTGGATGATGATCATCGTTGATAGAGGGCCGCCGCGGTGGCGGCGGAGATGATGAGCTCGGCGTGTGGGCAGAATATTCTCTTGTTTGGCCGGAATCTATCAGAAGAGACACTCCCAGGTGACCAGAAACAACATTCAATCCAGCTTCCAACATTGTCAGTTTGCTTTCCATGCGCTCCTTCCAGGACGCATCGCTCTCCAGGATCATCTGTAGACTCTTGTTGACCGTACATGGTAAGCCTCTCTTCCGGCATCGTGTACAAGGCGGCTGTCCGTCTTCGCGCATGTGGCATCGAATCTTTTGTTTGCGACATGCCACACAGGCGGTGATCTTTCGCGTGATCTGAGGCGGCGTTCGATCGCCGAACTGTTCGCGCAGGACGGCGACGGCCCTGGATGAGCTCATTCTAAACCGTCGTCTGAGTGTCACGATCCGTGTTCACGCACTTCAGATGTGCGAGGATCACTCACATGAAAGCCACACGACTTTGATAGTCGCCGCCGAACGCGGAAGACAGACATTCCAAGATCAATCATTGTGAACGTGAACGTCGCGTTGAAAAGGCGGCATTGTGATTGTTTGTGGACCGGCGTGAATCCTTGGGAGGGTAGTGTCGCGCCACACGTGGGGGCATCGCACTGGTCAAACTTGTCAACCAAGCCCAGCATTGTGACCAACGGTTTACACCTAATTGTCATTTGAATGATTCTAAGACATCAATTTTTACAAGTCCAATGTATGTTACGCGGATACCTCAGATCTTCTCTGTCTTATATAATGTGATCGGTTGGACATACGTCCTCATACTATCCTATCACGGTTTGGCAATCGTGTTCATAGACAGAGATAACCCCAACCCTACTTCAACCCTAGTATCACGTGCTTGGCCATTAACAACCGCCCGCACCTGCATTCATATTCAAGCAATCCCCCCTTGCTGGCATCAACTCCCTTCCGGATCCACCTGCAAGTTCGATGTCACTAACACATCTACTGTACAGCCGCCACTTGATCGGTCGAGGTGAATGGTGCAGCAAATGCATAGCGCTTCACACCGGCACTGTAATCGTGACCTGGAACACGTTCTGCAACTGATCAGTAAAATCTCCAACAAAACATAGTGCTGCAAAACTTGAAATAACATACCGTGGTCAGGCGGGAAGTTGATTCTGCGATCCTCATAGTACTTCTCACGCAAATCCTTGCCATCGCTCAAGTTATGGTAAGTCGCGTATACGCTCGCCCGCGGACGAGAGGTGGTGTTCTTCTTGGACCGATGTGCCAGATGGCTACCGAAGATCAAAAGGTCTCCCTCCTCTAGCTCGACTGGAATCCATGTTGCTTGTGCTTCCCACGCAGCGCTGATCTCTCCCGTGCCGTCCACGAGTTCAACATCCTTCCGATGACTTCCAGCAACGACCTCAACACAGCCATTGGCAACTGTTGCTGCGTCGACAGCGATGTTGGCTGTCGTGTGCTCGATCTTTCCGATGTGATCATAAGCCGGCGCGTCTAAATGAGCGGCGAAACCATTTCCACCTGGGAGCTTGTAGTTGATTTTCTCCTTGAAAAGTCGCATATCATCCCGGGTCAATTGAGCGAGGATGCCCATGAGAGACTTTCCGTGGAGCAAGGACGCGAAGCCAGCGTGAAAGTCGACAAAGTTCTCGGTGCGCATAATCTGACGCTCACCAGATGCGCTGATCTCATCGTATGGCATCCATTTTTGCGATTCGCGTGGAAGATTCCGCACTTGATCCGTCCAGAGATGCAACTCCGATGGCGAAACCAATCCATGCTCGCTATGACGCAGCACGAGATACCCTTCAGTATCAAAATGTTGGATTTGAGCGGGGTTAAGGTTTACGAACGACATTTTTGCACAGGCGATGATGGCTCAATCTGAAATTGATTATTTCTGCCATTTCGACATAACGCTACATCTTATTTAGCAACACCACGGGTGATACGAAGCGATGATTGATTGGCGATCTCAAAGGCTGGAATTTCGGGGAGAAGTGCGAGTAGTTGCCGGTCTTCGCTCCGAGCTTGACAGTGAATTGCCGCATCAGACACAGTCGCCCGCTAATACACCAGTTCGCCGCAATGTACTCACACGGTGCACTCCTCGACTGTCGGCAAGGTAAGCATATAGGAAACATCATTTCACAGACAGCGCGGTCAAAATGTGGTTTTGACATGGCCCGAGCTCCGAAGAGGGGGAAGATTACTCATCAGAGAACAGGTCGATAGATTAGTCGTCAGAAAATGGGTGCCAACCTTGGAACTTTCCAGGGTCACTACAGTGCGCACCGCCATGGGAACGCGTTTTGTATAGAAGTATACCATGGCTATTGATATCCTCAGGAGCGGATCTAACCAAAAAGGCCAGTGAATTGACATCAATACCGCAAGAGGAAGGTCGAGATTCGCCTGCGCGATCAGCAACGCGTGGAATATGCCGATCCGCGAGCACCAGAGACTTCACCGACGACTATGGGACTGAACTTGTTGCTTGGAGTGCACATGGTGAGGATCTCGAAATGCCATCAAGTGCCTACCTCGGCTCTAGATAAGCGCGCTCACGTCATGGCGCATGTCGACTTCATTCCAGGTGGTTTAGCTTGATGCTGATTGTCTGCGATACATTGACCCCGCCCCGCAACATGACGCCTGCGGTTTTGTGGGGCATCTTGCTCCACACCTGGGCAGTGGACGACCAAATATTGTTGCGGCTTTAAAGCATTTCGAGTGAATGAAGCACAATTATTAAATATTACAAGTCGAGGAGTCCGCCCACGAGCAAGCAAAATCGCATATCTGTGTCTTCCTTTCGTTATGGAAACAGTACCTGTTGCGATCGTTGGGGCTGGTCCAGCCGGCTTGGTGGTCGGCTTATCTTTGGCACAAAATGGCGTTCGGGTGAGTCGTGCTGTTCTGCTCTTGAGCCCCGATTCTATAATCCGAATGACTGGTACATGGATTCGTAGCTGATCGAGGAACCCAACGCAGAGCGTGATCCTAGAAAAAGAATTAGAGGTCGGAGATGACCCTCGAGGTGTGTACCTCGCTGCGGACGCAGTGCGAATTCTTTATTCGCTAGGATTAGGAAAATACATGTCCACCATTGGTCACGGTATGTGTTTACAATCGAGCTATAACTACCAGAATATCTGCTGATAATTGCGCCGCATTATAGAACTGTACGAAGTACAATTCCACCAGTCTTCATTCGCACGTCCCCCATTTCATACCATCGATCTTGCCCATGACAAGTTAGCACAAGCGGCGCCGAATGGTATTCTACAGATTCAGCCTGAGCTAGGTAAGTCGCAGCCTTCAGCACAGAAATTGCAAGTCGACTTTCGCTAAATCCAGTGTAGAAAAGGCCCTCCGCAAGGAGGTTGAGCAGAGCAGTCTGTGCGAGCTGCGCATTGGCTGCGATGTACAGCTATTGGAGCAGCAGGAAGAAAGTGTGTCCGTGTATTACAAAGATTCTACTAGAAGCTCCAAGCAGCTCCAAGCGAGATGGCTGATCGGAGCCGATGGCAAAAGAGGCGTGGTCCGCAAAATGTTCTTGGAGAAAGTTGCAGACATCCGTCAGGTGGAGACTGCGTACCGGTATGAAGGCACTTGGGTCGCTGCCAATCTCAAGCTACGTGCACCGACTCCCGGGACACATCCGGATTTTCCTCTTTGGAAGCTTGGAATGACTCCGTTGGAAGTCTACGATCTATTTTGGCCAAAGGGCTGGCATTTTTGCGCGCCTCCCGGGAAACCGACAGCCTCTGGTCGATTTGGACCATACGAATCTGGGTACTGGCGCCACGAATACCGACAAGATGGATGGGATCCGAAGACCATGGACGCAGAGAAGATGTTCTGGGAGCATCTCATACCTATGGTCACCCGAACATCTGGCCGCGACAACATTCCCTTTCCTTCCGGAGCTGTGACCTTCCCCAGAGACTGCATTGACATTGTCCGGTGTCGTCCTTTCACGTTCTCGCACAAGGTTGTCAACCGCTGGTTCTCTGGCCGGACCATCCTGATTGGAGACGCTGCTCATGTGTTTCCGCCCTTTGGCGGGCAGGGTATCGCGAGTGGGGTACGAGACGCGCATCAATTAGCATGGCGAATTGCACTGATGGATGGCATGCCAAACCTGAAGGCCCCGGTCCGCGAGCGTCTTCTGGAGTCATGGGCATGCGAGCGCACAAAAAGCGTTGCGGCTGCTGCTACCATTACATGGATTAATGGCCTCCTCGCCAACACCTATCTTCCACCTCTCGTCTGGGCGTTTTGGCTCCTTCACTGGCTCGTCAATACCTTGTCCCTCAAGTTTCTCGATTATGATCCTCAAATCACTCAGGAGCAACTGGGGTTCTCCAATGTTTCAGGCGGGACATTTCTCTCCCGATATCGAGGTGGTCTGAAGCTGCCACAAATTTACATTGATACGCTTTTCGAGAAACAAACACCGTCAGACGCCTTGTTGGCCTCTGACAAATCGATTTTCAAGCTTTTCATTCTGGTACCAGAGGACCCAGCGCCTGCCACCAAGGTCGGTGATATCGAAGCATTGTTGGCGGCGTCGGAAATCCCCAAGCACGTGCTCTCTTCTGCGTCAATCAGCATCGTCAGCCTTGGCCTCGCTCGTCCGGATAGTTTGGGGCACTACTCCGAAACCCACAAGCACAAAGCAGCGCCTTCTCCATTATCGCAAATCTCGCCGAGACTTGTGCGGAAAGGTTACAGCATCCATGCCTTCAAGGAACGTTTTGGACCTCGGGCGAGGTTCATCATCGCGAGGCCGGATTCATATGTTTTCGCGGTTGCGAACAATTTACAGGAGCTCCGATATTGTCTAGATGGTCTCAAGAAAACGTGCGAAGGCACTCGATGATGGCTAGCGAGGCACGCGTGGTGCTCATGTTATTTTCGCTAGGTAAAGCCAAGTAGCGATATTTGTGATTTTAGAATGTGGTCATGCGAAAGCATTGTTGCTGCGACGGTTTCTTCGTTCACAAACGAGCTCTAAAGGATCTCTTGGCTACTACATGCATATAGGTGGTATTATATATCACATTTCGAGGCCCCTTCTCTAAAACTTGATTTGTGATATCATATTCGACGATCTCGTCTATGTGCCTTGCGGGGCAACCATGTCTCAGCCGGCTGAACCACACTCTGTGTGTCTGCGGGGCTTTTTACCCGAATCAATGGAAGCATATATCGGCTCGAAGTTTACGATCATCTATATAATCCATGCCGTTGATAGCGGTCCTAACTACAAGAACAGAATTATCATCCATTGCAGAGACCACCACTTGAGCGAAAAAGATGATTGTCACCTCTGTTGCCTTAATTGCGATTGTCGCCTTGGTTCTGTACCAACTACGATGGGCCTTCAACTCTCAACTAAATCGTATTCCCGGACCTATGATCGCCCGATTCACTCGACTGTATCGTCTGTCGATGGTTGCGGGAGGCCGTGCACCAGAAGAATACCGAGCTGCACATGAGAGATACGGGCCTGTCGTCCGACTTGGTCCACAGCATGTCTCTCTCTCCGATCCTGCCGCCATTCCGGTGATCTATGGCGTTGGCAGCAAGTTTTACAAGGTAGGATAAGAGTCTGCTCTTCTATGCGTGGAGCTGACCTCTGGAAAAGACGGATTTCTACAAAACGATGGCTCCGATGTACGGAGGTAAGATCATCGAAAGCATGTTCACAGTCCGATCCAACGAGCAGCACAAGGCAATCAAAGCCCCTGTTGCTGCATTTTTCTCTATGAGCAACATGCGGAATTATGAAACGTATGTGGACGAGTGCACCGAGATCTTCATTTCCACAATGCATGAACTTGAAGGTCAAACATTAGAGCTCGCAGAGTGGCTTCAATGGTATGCATTCGACGTCATTGCCAGCGTCACTTTTCAGCGTCGATTTGGATTTCTTGAAGAGCGAAAGGATATCAATGGTATGATCCACGGTATTGAGGAAGGACTAGGTGCCATCAAGTTTTTGGGGCAATATCCTGAGCTCGATGGCATTGCAAAGGTCATTTTCAGGTCCCTTCTCAGACTCCTGAACCGGAAAGACCCTTTAGTCGGCTTTCTTGAGGTTTGTCTGTTCCCTTTGAGACAAGTGCTCGAGCAAGCTGACAACGGATTAGTTGTGCGACGAGGAAATCGAACGATATGATGCCGCTCCAGCGGAGGCCCACCTTCGTACAGACTTTCTGTCTCAACTACGACAGAAGAAAGGTCCCATTGGTCCGGACAGTCAACATGAGAACCTGGTCAATCACTTGGGTAACAATCTGTACGGCTTCATCCCTGATCTTCGCCCTTCCGTCGCTGACGACGCAGCAGTCTTGCTGGCAGTGATACCACCGGTATCTCCCTACGAGCTTGTTTCTACTATGTGCACAAGAATCCTCCCGTGCTTGAGAAGCTTCGAAGCGAGATCAGCGAATTTGCCGCATCGGGCCGTCTTTCAGAAGTGGCGACTCTCGAAGAAACATTGAAGATGCCATATCTGTATGTACTCCGGTGTAGTTCGCATCCTAGCATGACAGCTGCTGACCACAAGGATCTGCAGGCAAGCTATCATGAAAGAGGCAATGCGCTTACACCCTGGCGTTGGCTTCCCACTGGAACGCAAAGTACCAGAGGGCGGTGCCACGATTTGCGGTGTCAGCTTACCGGGAGACACAATCATATCCATGTCTGCTCCGGTCATCCATGTCGATCCCTCCATCTTCGGCAAAGATGCAGCACAATTCCGGCCAGAACGCTGGCTCGATGGCGACGAGGAACAACTTAAAGTGATGGAAAGATCACTGCTGACCGTACGTGTTTGCACTCCGTGGTCCTCGACTAGATCGTCACGCTGACTCGATTCCTTAGTTCGGATACGGTGCTCGGACCTGCATCGGTAAGAACATCTCTATCATGGAAATGGGCAAGTTCGTTACGCAGATCTTGCGCCAATTCGACGTCGAGTTCGTGAATCCGGAGAAGCCGTGGAGCACAAACGCAGCTTGGTTTTGGAGGCAATCAGGCATGCTCGTGACTTTCAGATCTCGACGAGATTAGGACTGCATTGGTGAGTGATCTCAGATGTTATAGAGAGTATTGCGATTGTGAAGAATAATACACGAATCGATTTTGCAAATGTGAAAAGTCCAAGAATCGATGAATCAGTCGGCCCATCCCGATGACTAATTCGATGAGCATGTCCAATGCCCAGGTGACTAAGTAAATTGCTGCCCCGATGTTAAGCCGGCCGAGTGAAACGCCTCGTCCAACAACTTGACCGACGCCGCTATCGCATCAGTGAATGACTTCACCTTCATGGGTTCCTCAATCAATCATTATAACACTACGGGAATATACCGTTATCAGCGAAGTCTTTGGGAACCTCTGGACCCCAAATTGAGAACGGTCCAACTACGTCGCGCTGAGTCGGCGTATCGATGTTCACCAAGTCCCCGTCTGCGTAATGCTCAATCTTGAAGCCACTGGAATCCTGCCAATAGTCGAAGATTTGGCTGCCCAACACGTGCCTCCCGACGCCCCATACGCTCTTCCAACCCTTTTTGGCCAGCCATTGATGGCCAATTAGCTGTGTGTCGAAATCTGCTACCTCAAACGAAGAGTGGTCTTTTGGATGGGTTAGCAAACATGGCTCAAATGGGAGTTTTGCGGATGTGGTGCGATACGTACGAATGAAACTTTGCTTGACTTCCGGTTGTGCGCGCTGTAGAAACAGGACATGATGATCTGTGTACTTCTCTCCGAGATCGAGATGCATGAATGCAAGAACATCCATATTTGAGAAGTCCCAATGATGTAAGATGTCGCTTGGGACGAAGTTGAAATTTGATGTGTACCACTTGACTTCGGTGTCAAAGTCGCGGTAAACGTAGCCCATGTGGCCGAGCTTGTGCACAAGCGCAGGACCTTCATGGAACCGCTGGAATTTACCTTCGATCTCTGGTCAGTAATTTGGATGAGTTAGCATCGTGAGGATACGTTCTTACCTTGCCGGGGCTTCGCGAATGGTGTGTTCATCGGGCCGAGTTGTTCGTGTGTTGCGCTTGGTTCTTTGGTCGTCTCGATCTCTCGCTCCTTCTGGCCGAAAATGACATGGAACATCGTCTTGTCGGATCGCTCAAAGCTGACGATGCTACCACCGCCTGGGGTATGTTCCAAAGATGCCACTTGAGCACCTGGAAGAGCGGCTGCCTTGTCAAACTCGGCTTGAGACGCGGCCACAAACGCTGGACCATGGAATTTTGGCTGTTTCGTCTTGCTCTGAATTGCGACGTAAAGAAAAGGGTCGATGCCATAGCCACGGTAGTATACCCGGTCTTCCTCCACCCTTTCTTCCACGAAACCAAAATCTTTGGCGAACTCTTTGAACTTCTCCAGATCCGGGTGCTCGAAGCTCACATGGCCGAGTCGAACCAATTGGACTTTGGAAGGATCATTCTTCACGTCCGGCATCCTCATATTTGCGAAATGAATTATAGACTCGCTGATAGAACGAGGAAGCGCAGAGAGTATGGTAACTGCAGCTCCGAGGACTAGCGACATTGGGATTCCAGAGAGACGCAGTGATGCGTAATCGTGTTCGACGCTCTTTGAAGGCTCTCGGCTGTGCGTTCAGTGTTTATATGAAACATTGTGCGGGGCATCGGCGGGTCTGTCCCGCACTGAATTTATGCTTGCCTCCTCGATGACGGATCTGGTCTTGGGGCGATTATTTAGGAAACGACATGGCCAGTCATAGACTCGGCAATCATCAATCATCGTCTTGATCCCGATTGGAGTCATGTGAGTCGCGTGAACATGCTGTCTCTTCAAAGACAACGATTTTAATTCTCTCCGCAGGCATCCTCATCCAGCCGCAGTCCATTTCCCCATTGCCTTCCTTTCCCTTGCATGCGGATTAGATCTGCTGCAAGTCTTCAGCGGAAATTACAATGTCGTCAACGTGAAGCAATGGGCATCTGCGCAAGAAATCATGAAGGCCGCCCATTACGCACAAATTTTGGGATTGATCGCCGCAATTCCCGCAATTGCGACCGGATTTAGGGACAGTATCAACAGTCTCTGGGGGCAAAGTCTCTACGATAAACAGACCAAGCAGCTGAGACCAAAGATAAAGATACTTGCGATACACACAGCCGTGACGATTATCGCAACACTAGGACACCTGGGCATCTTCTACAACCGGGAGCGCGTACAATCAACATGGGCATCTTTGGGCCAGCTTGATCCCCGAATCGTCGCGTTGGAGGCTATCTTCTGTGGGCTAATGTTCTTCGGCGCAGGTCTCGGTGGAAAGTTGGCGTTCCAGTTTGGAATGTGTGCCGGTGTCCAGCAAAAGAAGAACAAATCGCAATGAGCAGCCTTTGTGTCGCACATCGCCATGGAACTATATTCGATAATAGATTACAAAATAGCTCCGCATCACCGCCGCAGCTTAGCAAGTTTGAACACAGCATAGAATATTTTGTGCTATGGATGCTCATCAGTCTCATGCTCCCCCAAATTCTAAGTGTCATGCGCAGACTTACACTGATCCAGGTTGGTATCCACGTCGTGATATAATATAGATACCAACTTTGTGCGCCTTCCCAGAATTCTGGGGGAGGATTTTTCCGCACCAGCTTGTCCACAACTCTTCGAGCGTAGACTGCTGCCGGCATGCCATTGCTGTTGCCCTTATTCTTCATGGTTTCAATGTGATCTTTGATGGGCGTGTACAGGGAGTCCGGGGCGCTTTGCAGGCCATCGCGCAAGATGTTGCTCTGGACATAACCCGTGACGACCTCGCAGACATGGACACCGAAGGGCTGGAGTTCCTACGATTCCATCAGCTCTAGAGTCATCGAGCTTCGTCTTAGACAAAGGTTTTTTACCAGACGTAAAGTCTTGGTGTATTGACTCAAGGCTGCTTTTGTGGCATTGTATGGGCTCTGCCACACGACCGGGACAGCGCGCGTGACGCTGCCTATCTGCACGATCGTTCCACGTCCGGCAATGAGCAGCTTCGAGAATTTGGCACACATTCGCATTACTCCGACGACCTACAAAGAGAGCTTTCAGCATAACTTCATTCTCTCGTTCGGCGACGGGCGTAGGTCGATGACGTGGGATGCGCTCACATTCGTCTCGAAGACATTCCGAATACGATCAGCCTCCAACTCGATCGCTGGAGCAGCGTAATGTGCGCCGGCATTGTTCACAAGGTATGCCAGACCGCCATTGGCCAGCACGCTGACCTCATCGTACAGGCGATCAATGCTGTCTCCGTCGCATACATCCAACGCAAGTGCTTTGATGTTTGAATGATCGAGTTCTAGCTGCTTGAGACTTGCCGTATTTCTGGCAGTTGCAATCACTTGATATCCACGAGAAGCGAACTCAACGGCCAGAGCATGGCCAATGCCAGTGCTGCATCCGGTGATTAGGGCGATTTTGGGAGCCATTGCGGTGTTGATAGCTTGTCATGGTATATTCGTTGCACCTCTACTCTCTTAATGTATGTACGCACAGATCTGCAGCTAGTTGCGGGCATCGGCTGGTACAACATTACCGCGGCCTGGTGCCCCGCTGCTCGGCAACTGCCCCACAATGCCAGTCTCGCGATGATCATTCATAAAGGAAGAAGCACATGCGCGAGAATTCATAACTTCGAATCGGCTCAGAACACATCTATCGACAAAATCGTCATGTCGAAATTTAATACTTTGATCAAATTCACGGTGGAGGGAAGCGATAAGCCTTTCTTCGCCAAATTAGACCCTCAAACCAAAGTCGCTGCTGGATCTACCGTGACGGCCTTCCAATCTTTCGCCGACCTCGAGAGCGGCCAACGCTCAGAACAAGTCAAGATCAAAAAGGTAAATTTCATCAGACACAAATCATTCTAAATCGATGCTGACTTCATTATCTGCGTCAGCTTCTCGCTCCTCTGCCCTTCGAAAATGTGCCCATCTACTGCGTCGGTTTGAATTACCGCAGCCATGCGACTGAAGCAAAGGTTTGAGATGCCTGGAAGAAGTATTGAAGGTGCAATATTCTAAAGTCATGGCATAGCTTTCGGTGCCTGCATATCCACCACTATGGACCAAGCCCGCAGCTTCGTTGGCGGACCCTGCGGACGACATTGCGCTGAATCAATTTTGCGCAACTAGCTTGCCTGACTATGAGGTTTGTTACCCCAACCTTGCTTGGGCCAGTCGGGTCACTGACGCGATTGTTCATAGGGAGAGCTCGTTTTCGTCACGTCAAAGGAATGCAAGAATGTCAGCGTCAAGGATGCGCCATCTTTCATTTTGGGCTATACAGTAGGAAATGATCTCTCATGTCGGTTCTTCCAAATTCAAAGAAACGGTGCGGGCCAATTCTTCTACGCCAAAGCTTTCGACAAATTCGCCCCCATTGGTCCAGCCCTCGTCAGTGCAGGGCGGTATGAAGCGACGTCGAAGGGAAGGAGGTTGATCACTCGCGTCAACGGGAAAGTGGTCCAGAACACCGAAATTGCTACAGACCAGATCTTCTCGCCTGCACAAATTTTGAGCCATATGAGTCAAGGTGTGCTCACTTCGAACAGGAATCTTCCATGAGAAAGAAACTGACATGGATTCACCAGGAACGACAATCCCCGCAGGCACAGCAGTGATGACCGGAACTCCAGCAGGCGTGGGCGCATTTCGAAGTCCTAAAACATTTCTTCAGGACGGCGATTCGGTAGAAGTCGAGGTCACCGACGTCGGTGTTCTCCAGAACACCATTCGCTTTGAAGGGTGAGTGAACTTGCACCAGCAAAGCAGGGCCCAATGGCAAGCCTTTCCCAGCTATCTTCTTGATTGGACTTCAAGCTGACATCTCATCCTAGCTTGCAGTGGTGGGTCCGACCTTTCCTCGCGATCCAAGGTCTAGTGCTTCGTTTGGCTACATGAATTGCAGAACCTCTATGTCCGACCTTGATGTAATTAGAAATTTTGACATTGTTTAGGATACTGTTTTTCTCGTGGAGATACTCGTCCTGAATGATGTTTTTCCAACAGTTCGCTTGTGTAACGCAAAATGTTTGACCACACAGGCAGAGACACCCGACCGTCAAGATACGTACCCCTTCACCATAGAGCCTGAACTATCGACTGTGGACAGGGCAACGAACCAGTCAGGTCCACTCGCAACGAATCATCATTGGCTCTTGAATTTGTCGTGCCTACCAAGGCATCGGCATCATCCATGTATTCATCGATCTACTTGGGTACCCATGAAGCAAGTCGTACTGGCGGACAAACGGCCGATCTGAGGAAATGAATGTTTTGCATCTACAGTAACCTCGGGAAGAAACCGCATTTGCGGGGGAGTTCCGTTGCTCCGCGTTAGGGTTCAGCTGAGACATATTCACATATCATCGGAGAAGATGCCCCGCCCCGCTTGACTGCTCGTTTCCCACACGCATGATCGCCAACCAACGGATTGGGCTTGTTCTCCGCAAATCGCGTCTGCTGCACCACATCATCAACTTCTTCCGCGGATTCTCCACCATGGTCACCTTGACATGCGGCACATGCGGGAAATCCTTCTCCAAGAAAGAACACTATGTGCGTCATCTGAGAGTGCACACGCATGAACGCCCGTTTGCATGTCACGCATGTGGCCAAAAGTTCGCGCGCAGGTAAACGCATCGTCAAACATGTGACGCTCTGCTGTGGTTGACACGCATCTTCTCAGGGACACCTTGAAACGACATCAGATCTCTCACCATGGCGACGAAACTTCGCCAACACAACAGCAAAACGAAGTGGAAATGTCAATGGAAGAAGAAGCCGAAAGCGTCCGCAACTCGGTCCCAGCCGTGAATCTAGAACACCTGGAGCTGCAGCAGGCACTCGCAGAGGACACTTCCGCCCCATCGGCAGCCAACACTGCACTATCTTTTGACTTGACCGCAACACCATTCGATCCGTTATGGGACGGGAATTTTGAGCTGGGGCCTGATTTCAGCATTGGCGACCTTGGAACGTTTGATATTAACAATGCCGGCCCAAATAACCCTTGGCTCCCGCTCCGCCCTCAGCCAGAGATACCCGCTATGTTTACAGACGTACAGGTAGCTACACCTAGCTCAAGTACGAACATACCGGACAGGTGGCATACACGACTTACTGGGAAACGGCGGCCGTCTCGCGACGACGCGCTGTTGGAACCTTCCGCCGAACAGCTGCGGGAAGAACTGAGCAGATCTGAACTCACCACAAGTCTTCAACACCGCCTGCCCGATCCATGGCTACCACCCACATCATTTCTAAATCGCGCGCTTCATGCTTATACAACCCGACTGTGGCACCTGATACCTGTCGTGCATTTGCCTTCCTTTGTTCCCTCTCGAGCCCATCCGCTCCTCTTGCTGTCTATATGCTCTCTGGGGGCACTAGCCGAAGGCTCTCCCGACTCACTGAGACACGCTTTCAATCTCTTTGAGGGTATTCAAAAGGCCATACTTGTGGCTTGGGATCCCAATAATGTTTTTGAACCTGCTTCGCTGGCGCTCATTCAAGCGGCGACTATCGGTCAAACATTTGCAATACTCTCTCCAAAGGTTGCGCACCTAGCCACTGCTCGCGCCTTTCATGGTACGCTTTGCGTTTCCGCAGAAAATTTCCAAGAGGTTTTCAGAGCTGGACCTATGTCAAGGGATAAAGCTGCTGCGGATGGCGAGGCGTCGCTTGTGGCGAGATGGCAAGAATGGATCAGCCTGCAAACATGTATCAGAGTTGCAAATGCGTTGCAGTGCCACGATGGCGAGATTGCAGCAACTTTCCAAAGACGGCCAGTCCTCCGGATGCCACCCTCGAAAACCATGTTCGCTGCTTCAGATGCTATATTTCAGCTCAAATCAGCGACGAGGTGGCATGAGGCTCTTTTGATGGCCCCGCCAGAGCCAAACCCCGAGTCTGATGGTTTTTCGCCGCGCTGTTCAGTATACTCAGCTTGTGCATTTCTCGAGTCAATGCTAGCCGAGATCATCGAGGTCAGGTTGGCGCAGACCAACTTCATGCAAGCACAATTGGACAGGCTCGAACTGACTCTCATCGAGACTTTAGCGCGCTCCGCTGAAGTTCTGGATTCTGAGGCCTCAGATAGGCTATACATCAAGCTGATGTTTCATGCCTGCTTCATCCAGCTGCTTTGTAATTTTGATCAGATCGAGCGACGACTTGGCAAAGACGGCCAACGAAATGACAACGACTCGGCATTCGGCGAGATACGCGAATGGACAGCCACGGATCGAGCAAAGAGATGCCTCGTGCATGCAGCAAGTATCTCCAACGCATCGGCTCAATTTCGCTTGAGCGATACTCCTGCACTCCACGTCGCGAGGACCATGTACAGTGCAGCTATCGTCTGCATCGCGTACGCAACATCCGCCCCAAGTAATTTTAATATATTCCCTTCAAATCTCGCGAATACCTTTCCCGAATTTGGACTTCTTGGTACTTCGGGGATGCTTTTTCCGACAGAAAATGTTCATACTCGCAATCATTCGACCATCGATCATTGTGCTTCTATAGCTTTCTCACTCACAAGTGCGCTCCGATGTCTCGGTCCGTGGCAGAATGCACATCGATATTGCAGCACTCTCGAAGCTATTTTGGCCGAACACGAACGATGACTAATCCACAACAACGAACGATTGATGAAAATTTTGAAGAGTTGAACAATCGATAACTGTCCCAGAACAGCAAATGAGTGTTGCGATTTTCTCCGCAACATGAACGCCATCGGATGATATCACAAACGCGGCATGTAGAAATCACGAGGACATTCACTGGTTCAGGCGAAAACACATTGTCATTAAAGTTCACATCGAGCAGAGTCGACATCATCGTTCAGAAAGGTACCAAGGACCTAATAATCCCCGGTGTTACTCGTCCCACCCCCATCAAGGAGATCCCACAAGTCGAGATTTGAAATTATGGTTTGTTGTTTCGCGCTCCGATCGCTTCGCACCAGGCCAGCATTGCGTAGGGTATGATTGACACACAAAGATTTACAAGCCGAACGCTTAGTGGATCAGGTGGAGGCTCTTGAGGAGCTCACCGATGGTGTTCTCGGGGCTGAGGCCAAGGGCCTTCTCTAGATCCTCTGTTGAAAAAAGTGGTCAGTAATTGATGCAATCATCATCAGCCGCGGCGGCGGTAATGCGACACGTACGGTCAAGCTTGACGACAGATCCAAGACCGAGGTCCTTGAGGAGACCATCGGCGACATCATCGACACCATTAACGGTCTTGTCAACGGCACCGACGAGCTCCTTAAGGAGGTCGTTGAGGTCGCTGTCGACCTTGCCGAGTCCCAGGCAGTCGAGGAGCTCGGTGATGGTGTTGTCGAGGGTCAAGCCCAGGTTGTCAAGGACGGTGTCGATCTCCTTGATGAGAGGGATCTCCTGGCGAACGGCGACAGCCGAGCCGGTGTAGACAGTTGGGAGCGCAAAGGCGCTGGCGATGAACGCGAAGGGGAGGATGACGGAGAAACGCATGTTGATGGTTGGTTTGGTGTTGGTTGGTAGGTGAGGTGATGAGGTTGTTAATGGAAATAAAGCCGGTTGAGCTGGTGAAAGAGCGTTGAAAACGAGTGACTGGTCTTGCGACTGGATTGCTGATGAGGAAAGGGAGAGTTCTTGTTGGCCTGGACATGCGGATACTTATGTGAATTTCTGACAACCATGGAACTGTTCATCGAGTCGATAATCACGATCAGTGGTTGTCAATGTCCTTAGCGCACCTGCGCCGATCATCATCTATCGCTAGCCGTAATGATTCCTGTGATTCGACTCTACATTCGAGCCGTCGGTCGCATTGTTCATCACAACAAGGTTCGTTATCAGACTACACTACCGGCCACGGTACCTATGATCGGGTCAGTGCATGTGTCAACTTGCGCCGATGACTCCAATTCGCAAGATAGACTTTCTTTCCCCATGCGCTGACGACCCATGGCTGTCTTCCTACGAACTCAGAAGGACCAGTGGCTCAATTGGGGAAACGTGGAAGCGGTGCCGTGGGTCCCCTGTGCAGTGGGTCCCCTGCGGTTCCGCTGCATAAAGCCGCTGAACATTTCTGGCTCTTCGGCCGGCAAAGAACGTGTAGTCCTATCTTCCGAGAGAAACTTCCCAGCTACCGAGTCAAAAATTCCAAGAGTGCAAACGATCATCGGTTTCAAGCAAATATTGCGGTGATCCGCAACCGATGCTCGAGCGTTTACGAAATGAACTCATCAAGATAATCACTCGGGGGTAAGCACTAGTCATGATGAATCATCACCAACAAAGCACATCCATCACCCGCGACAAATTTGTTTTTGATTCGAGTAAGAGATAAGGAGGCCCACTAGACAAGACGATCGCCCTCTTATCATGTCCACCCAGTCGCCGTTGTGGGTTATTATGATATCAGGGGGAACGACGTTGGAGGTTCACGATAAGGCTAGCGAAAGCTTAAGGAGCAGGAGGCGGCGCCACGGCGCTGCCAAATTCAGGAACAGGTCTGGCGCCGTGGCCTAGCCGGGTTTCTCCAGCCGCACCGTCATCACGGGAGTTTGGTGAAATTTGAAAATGCGCAAATCTCCATGATAAGAACGTCGATCTATGGTCGGACTGGGCACTCCGATGTTTTGATCACTGTGAATCCTTCCTTTCGCACGAGAGGTGAAATAGTGGTGTTCGATTCAGCACTACTGATCAGCGGCCTGAGGACTCCGTTTGCGTCTGTTTCTGCACACGCAGATACGGTTGTCAGCTTTCCTTTCCATATGCACAGGGGCAGACCCTGGAGGTAAACTCCGGCGGCTCATGTCTACTTCCGCAACGGCTTACCGATCGAGAATACTACGCGTTGATTTGGACGGGCTTCTCACCTTCCGGCAAGGCGGCGCATGGGGAGGAGCAACAGCCCTGCAAGGCTTGGAAGTCCCAAGCCTGACGCAACCTTGAATAGAGAATGCACACAACCCTGCGTTCAATCATTGACTGCCTATGTACTCATGAAGAATACTGTAGGCTGAAGCCGGCATTTTTCGGTCACCTTGGAGCCTAGCATATTATGACCTCTCGGCGCCCGGACGTGCATCATGTGCTAGAAATACAGTTCGCGGAGTCGCAAATCCGCTGCCGTTGAAGACGACATCTGGTTGCAAAACATCCTTAATCCGCAACACGTGTTGTGACGGCATTGAAAGTTCGGTAGATGAATAATGGAGACTTCCATGAAGAATATTCCGCTCGTTTCGCTCATTCGCTGTTCGAACGCAATGAGCTTCCTAGAATCCGTAGAATATGTTCCATGAGACTTGTTGGAACGGCAAGGAGCAAGGTGGGATCCGGTCCTGACTGAACTCATCCTTGCTCTAGGGGAAGGTGCCGGCGCGTGAATGGCAAGGTCCACTGAATAACAAAAGACATCACACACGATTGGCTTCTTGTGATCTACCATCAGAGGATAAACATATTATTATTATCGAGATGCACACAGTATGCATGTTGTTCTTGGACGATTCAGGTGCCCAGGTGTCACTGAAGTTTAGGGTTGGGGTTAAATTCATCCCGTCGCCGCAATTAACACGCGGGGGTGACGAGCGCGTTTCTGTTCTCCAATCTTCCTAGCTGTCCCGTTCTCGTCCACACCAAAGAGCAATTAACGAGCATCATATTCGCCTCAACACGCAGACATAACATCAAGCTGTGCAGGACGCGCGTATAAAATCACTCACCATGGAGCGCTCTCCCCGTCGTACCTGGTCGGACCTTCTGCGTTCTGACATCCGTCCACGAACACCTTGAGGAGCTTTCCGTTTTTCTCAGCATCTGGCCGATAGATGATATCGAGCGATGCTTTAGCACCTTGCTCAGGCGTCCAGTCAGCCATATCACCACCACCAAGTTCCATATTCAACCACTGCCACGGTGTTTTAGCACAGCACCCTTCTCGATCAGCAAAATCCAATTTCCCACTTACGCCGGGAGAGATGGCGATGAATGCGAAATTTTGCTTCTCATAGTCGAGAGAGTACTGCACTGTAAGAGGATGAACAGCCGCCTGAGATAATTTGTATGCCGGTGCCGGCATGAAGCTGTATGCTGGAGCAAGAGCAATCGAGCCTACAGTGGAGGCACTGATGGGAGACATTTTGAGCCATCATTGAGAGCGTGTCGCGTATGCGGTGTGACTCCGAGGAATATCGATGATGGCGGTGCCGGCGTCACTTACATGTTCGCAACCTTCTTCAGCTCTCCTTTCTCGAGCAGCGGAAGGAAGGTGCGAGACACCCAGTGGACGCCGAGTACGTTGACCTTGAAGATCTCCTCGAGATTGTTCCTGCAAGGATATCGCTTCCATCAGCAGTAGTACGATATGGTGACTTGCGGACCCGTCAGTGTCCTACATCGATTTCGTGCCGTCATCTGCCCAGTGCGCAACGCCTGCGTTGTTGATCAAGAAATCCAAGCCCTTGCCGCCAAGAGCCTTCTCGACATACGGCCAAGGCTTCTGGATTGATGCCTTGTCCGTGACGTCGGATTTAGTCACGTGAACCCCAGTAGGGCGAGCCTTTCGCCAATGCATCCAAGTCGGCGGGCTGTTTGCGTGTTGATATGATGATTTTCGAGACTGCGCTCGCCGGTCGAAAGATAAGCTCCCTGGCAAATGCCAAGCTCAGGCCGCGGTTGCCGCCAGTGATCAAGAAGGTCGCCATGATTGGCACGATATTGGAGGAAGATGCCGAGATAAAAATTGAGAGCCAGAAAAAGCCTAGAAAACGAGAAGTGATTCTTGTCCGGTAATTGATGCGACGACTCTGACTTCTTTCTTTTGGCGAAATCGGACATCTTCTTACATCTTGTCTTGCAGATCGATTGCTGGCGCCTGCCTACTTTCTTGGCTACTCGGGCAGCTAGCTTAACGATATGCAGGTGTTGTATTTCACGCGCGGAAATAGCAACAATCATGTCCAGCCACTCTCACGCTAACACAACACAATTCTCAAAGTTACCGATTGAGCTATATCGTCGACCCAGATGCAGTCTCCCATGTCCACTCCTTACTGCTTCACCGTCGTTGCAGCCCATATCCCTGGGTCCAGACTATGTACAGGCATAGTCATTGCGAAGTTGCAACATCGCCTCTGAAGCTTTCGCAAGGTCATCGGAAGTGTATTACGGCTTCGCATGGCTTCACGTGGATTCAGCGTGTGCCATCTCCATGCCCCGGGGCGCATGCTGGTTGTCGACAGGTGCCGGAAAGATTTAATCATCCCGGCGAGAAGAGTTGTGACCGAACGATTTGCGCTGTGAATCTTGCTCGACAGACCGTTCATGACCCATGATGGAATACACGGTAGGTTTTTGGGTTGGGTCTGCGACGTCTGTCATTGGCATGTCGGCAATCTCTGTTTCGTTGAGGTGCCTGCGCTTGCGATTAAACTCGGCTTTGGTATTGAATGAACTCATACGCTGCTTGGAGCATGCGAGTCGGAAATGGAGCGAGCCACAACCACCAGTGGTCAAAAGACAAGGCCGTGTATGGGGATCCCGCTGTCTGACGTTGTTCGATTCCGCTTTCGCAGGGTTCGTATTGCTAACCATTGCAGGGTCGCTGATAGTAATAACCGCCAATGGACCACAAAGCGTGAGCTGGTCACTTCGTGGGAGGTCACTAGTGCCCCACCAAATCATCGGCCAAGCACCCTAGTCAAACGACACGCGCGATGCACTGTCACCGCCGCAAATCGTACACAGGACTCCATTTCCTGTCGCATGATCCTGCCTCATCATAGTCCGCGACAATGCGAGAATTCCAATAGATGACTCAGCTGCTTCATGTCAAAGCCATGAGTCATGGTCAGTCAGTCATTGTCCACCCGCATAAGTGCGAGAAGCTCTTCACTAAAATTTAGTCCAGCAAGGCGGTCCTCGCGGTGATAACGGTGATAAGCGGATATATCACGAGCACGCAAAGGCTCTGACTTGTGGTCTATAGGTATGTGCTCACGCCAACCCTCTGTGGATGGGACAGCGACAAGAAATGACGTCGATGTTGGATTCAAGAAGTTCAGAAGTAACATAAATATTCGAAGGCAATGCCCGACTCATAGACACATGTGATGCCCCTCGCCACGATGTCGCACAAATACAGCAGCCGGACAACTGCCGACGTTGTCGTCAAGGACCTTGCATCTCAGATTGCTGGTACCACCGTCTTATTGACCGGCGTTTCATCTGGAGGGCTAGGAGCATGTTTCGCAGAGCAAATTGCGAAAAGTCCACAAAAGCCGAAGCTCATCATCCTGGCCGGCCGCTCTATCAAGAAGATCGAAGAGACTGCCAGTATTGTCAACAAGGCAGGAGTTACGACGAAGATTCTCGAATTGGACCTCTCTTCTTTCGACCGCGTGCGCAAAGCGGCTGCCGAGGTGCTCGGATGGAGTGATGTCCCAACCATTGATGTGCTCATCAATAATGCAGGAATCATGGCTGTACCGTATGAAGTGGGTCCGGACGGCTTCGAATTGCAGCTCACTACCAATCACTTGGGACCATTCCTGTTTACCAACCTCATATTGGAGAAAGTCTTGGCTGCCAAAGAACCTCGTATCGTCAATGTCGCAAGCGATGGCCATCGATTGTCCCCATTTCGGTTCGCGGACTACGACTTTCATGTGAGAACCATTCCCTTTGATCGTGATTCACCAGCCAGCTGACAAGGCGGACAGGACGGCGAAAACTATGATCGTTGGCTCGCATATGGGCAGACGAAGACTGCAAACATGTTGTTTGCCGTCTCCCTGGCACAGAAGCTGGGTCACCGTGGTTTGACAGCCACCAGTCTCCATCCTGGTGTGATTGGCACCAATCTTTCAAACCACCTGGACTGGGAAAAGGACTTCGGCGACCTGGGTGAGCAACCGAATCTGATTCAATTTCACTCCATACGCTAACACAGAATGATCATTATAGTCAAGGCTGATAGATGGATGGGTAACTTCGAAGGATGGAAAGAATTCGAATTCAAGTCTCTCGAACAGGGCGCAATGACTCATGTCTATGCCGCATTCGAGCCGAGCCTTAAAGGTGGGAAGTCGTATCTGCTACGAATTGCGTCAGTCGGGCTTCTGACTGACATGTTGCAGCATACAACGGCGCATACACCCTTGACGGACATGTCGCCGATCCAAGAAATCCTCAAGAGACCGTCAAGTCTTGGGCAACGAACGCCACAGAGGCACAGCTGTTGTGGGAGCTGAGTGAGAAATTGGTAGGGCAGAAGTTCGAATTTTGATCACGATGTGCCCTCTCGAGCTCATGATGCAAGCTCAGACGTGTTGACGCTGCGAAGGTCACAACTTGAGCTGCAGATGCGCCCTGTACTCCGTCGGATTCGAATATTCCGAGTTATCAAATGTTTCTTCTTGGTCCGGCGTACTTGCACTGATGAATCTTGCCATTCGTCACCTCCTTGATCGATGCGGTCTGCGAGTTTTGCAGCTTTGGCGATAGGTCCAAATGTCAAGCTTTACATGCAAGATCTCGCTTTCGATCACTGGAGACCATTGAATTGACGTACATAGACATCTTCCAGTCGACATTCAGAAGCACATTGGCATTAATGCATCAGCATATATTCTCTCATATTGGGCAATAGCATCAATCTGTGTGATTCGGCGCAGACAGATCGCGACGCGGTCGTTATTTTCACACCCCTCAGCCCGGCAATCGAGAAGAGCGACGATGATTCCGTTGCCGTTGACTCCCAAGGGCTTAGTGATCCGTTGGTCGTTAGCTGTGAGAACTGGCGAGGAGCCTTGGAGTATTTCACCAGAGGAACTAACGTTTCCTGATCTCAGAAAACTGTCTGCAAGCATGCCACAACCCTTTTCAAGGGTCTTTGCGGGATCAGTCCAGGCAGATATGGACTGGTCCTCGGATGATTGCATGATCTGTTGCTGGAGCCTGATGAAAGCCTTCTCCTCCCCTTCGCCGTACATCGCCGGCATTGTCACATCGGGGATTCCCCTCGGGCAATGGGCGGTGTCTTCCTCTCTTGTGGTCTGTCGCCTCGCTGCCCATGTCATACTTGGCAGAGCGAATGGGTTCTTCGTTGAAAGGGTAGCGCTCGGCCATACCTGTAATGAGACAAATCTGCGAAGACAAGCCAGCTCTATCACCAAGCAGCGTCCAATCTGAAGAGTAGAATTCTATGATCTTTGGCGCCATCAGCTGCTCACAAACTAGTATCGAAATCAGCATCGTGTGCTTCGTGTTCAGCACGCTGATGTGCTCCTTGTTGAAGCCCCGTAGAATGATTCCAAGGGCTTGAGACTCACATGTTCGAAGAATTAAGAGAATTCGTGTGCGAAACTCTCACATGCCCAGGTGCAGAGCATAAGTCATTCCGGGATCGTGATTGCAATTATCGATGTGCAATCGCAGCCCCGATGCTGCTGCGATGCGCGAACCCGGCATTTCATCACCATAATTGCCTTCTGTTGACAAGTGTGAGATCCTGTCGAGTACCAATCTGCGTGCATCTGTTGATCATACATAGATTGGCGTAGTCAAGCGAGCGCTGTTCCCAAGATTACCAAATTAAATCAGCTGGTCTATTAGTCATCAACTGAAACCAGTATCTGATGAGTCATCGGACTGCCTCGTCCAGTTTTACCGATGCACGTACGTCTTTTAGGATTACGCTGTCGACCAGCGATCTCCACGATGTCCTTGCTCCTCTACAGAGTCCTATCAGCTCGTTCGAGCATTCACCGAGAAGTTGCCTGGGTCCTGGGCGCGTTACTGAAAACTTCCGATCGACCGAGCAAGCCGCGTGAACGGGCTATGCTACACCCACCTTGCGCTGAAAGAAACCGACTTTGACCTTGGCTGGTGGATTTCAACAGCAGTGGGTCATGACAAACGACACGAAAGGTTATCCCACGACTCATTGTAGGTGATCGAGACGTTCGCGGCGTGTCTGTTGCTTTCCGCGACTCCGTCGCCGCAGGTGCTCCGTCACAGCAGTGAAGGTCCTCAGCCTCGTTCTTCGAGTGCTTCATTTGTGCAATCCTGTCTCTTTTCGCGATATCGCAGCTTGACGAGAACCGGGCCGTCCGCGCTCTGACGTCGCTCGAACGTCGCACGAGGCATCGCATCGCATCGTTCGTCAGGCAGGCGTCCGTTCGGCGCCGAGTCGACCTGTGATGCAATACTCGTTGCGTGGTGCTGCTACAACAATCTGGGAAAGCTGAGCTCGTGACCCATGGAAGTGTCATTTGCGTTTCCCAAAAAAGCTGTTGGTATGTGCTGGTCAATAGATTGACGTACATTTGTACTCAGCAGTGCTTCACGCTTGTCAAGAGAAGGCTGTCGGTAAAGAGACCACACCGACATCGAAACTCCGTCCCGCAGCTTCGTTCGACCAGCGCATGTACAAACATGAATCTTTTCCTGAAGCCCCTAAGGTCGCAACGGCTTCACATCGATGCTTGAAAAGAATTCTTCCGGCTTGAACAAACGATCACACTGAAACGGCCGATGTAGAACGCTCGAAGCCCGAAGCCCGTCAACTTCACAAAGCGCCATTGCCGAATATGCCCAGTGAGCTCCCATTATACCTGGGTAATTTTGGAAAGTAACAATTACCACATATTCGCTTCTCAACGAAAATCTACCAGCCCGTCTGAGTACTCACCGGAACTTTGCTCAAGCCCGAGCCTATAGTTGAGGCCGTTGACTCGCCCAGCAAGCCGCATGAGCGAGCTACACTGCACCTACCTTCTGTTGATTTGGACGTACTAAAGCCTTCATACGATAGCTGTGAGACAAGACACAAGAGGGCATCATACAGCCCATGACAGGTGACAGAGTACTTCGCATCGCTTCTGTCCCTGCAAGAGACCCCGTCGCAGTAGAAGGAGGCCCTCAGCTTCGTAGTTCATGCAACTCAAATTGTGTGGTGCCTTCTTTTCGGGACACCAAGGCTTAAACAGCGACAAGCCACGCGTGCTGTAAACTCCGACGAGGGTCGGATCTAGACTTCGTCGCGCGCCCAGGAGGCGTTCTCCCCAGCGCGCACTCGGCTCGTGGTGCGCCACTCGCTGTATCGCTCGGCTATGGTGGTTTGCGATAACGTGGTTGAATCGACCACGAGAAAAACACCTTAGGCCTCGGCCAGATCTTTCCAGGCTGCGACCTCGTACGAAACATTTATTGTCTGTTGACATGTGTTGAAACAAACACACAAGCCACGAAGCAAGAATGTCACCCGCGAGGTGCAGCAACCCCGCTGCGACTTTCGGCTCGTCGCCGTTTGGCGTTGTGGCGTTGCGCGGATGGGTACCGCACTCGCCACAAAATGACATTCTCGAACAAATTTCGAGAACGTCTCGGGTAGTGTGCTGAAGAAAAACTTGCAAGCACAGCTGTCCGGTTGTTCATCAAAGGGTCTGAGACATGTTTCATATCGCCTGAGCCATCGATTTGTCAACTCTTTCTGGTCTGCCGAGGACCCTGGCTGTTGCAGATGTCGAATATGTTCATGTGGTGATGTGCCGGAACTTAATCCTTGTCAATGTTTTTCTTCTCCGCGATGTCACTCGAAGTGTTACATTTCACGAATAGGAGAGGATAGAAATACCGGTACGGCCGTCGGAACCTTCGTTATCGGGTTGGCGACTGCTTTGAATGCCTTTGGATACTGCGGAGGTGTAGCAGTGACATTGGTCGCGTCGCAAAGTCGGAAGCCACAAGTTGGCGCCTCAGCGGGACATTATGGTTGTGTCGAGACGCCGAACTGTTGTGCAAGAAAGGAGAGATGCCTCGCTTCTGTAGTCGACAGACATCTTTTGTTGAATGCTTTCGTCAAGTGGCTTTGCTGGGGACGCCGGGTCTCAAATCATGATGCTGATGCCAGGGTTTCGTAGCTTCAAGCGGGAGCTCCTGATCGCGCTCCCGGATTGCAACATCGAAGAACACGATTGAACAGAATCTGCATGCATCCTGTCACGTCCTCGGGAATGAAAACGCAATAGATTGACGCAGGCCCATCATTTCGATGCCACTTGTCGATGAGGCTTCGCTCTTTAGCAACTTCATCGGTCGAGGACGATAGAGGCCTTCATGTGATTGCAAGCTCGGCAGGGCATGCCAGAAGGGGATTTTTAGAGTTCGAGCAAAAGACCACAATCACATGGCAAGCTCAGAATAGCAAGGCGATTAACGTTTGTGGTCAGTCTTGCGATGCAGGAAAAGGCGCTCATTCTGGCGGATGGAGCTGAGCAAATTTCATGTGACGTAATTTGTGGAGCTATGGCGACTTCTCAACAAAGAACTCTGCCTCCCTCCAGCTCTCGGACTCTGGACTCCGATCATCAGGGGCTTATAGCTTCATTCGCCTGTGTTCGCTTGTATACTTTATTGGCTTGATGACGGACAAAAGTCACAATTATCAAGTTTACGATATCGCCGCTATCCTAACTTTATCGCGTCAAGGCCGCCCAAAAAGTCGTCGCGATGTCACCGCCGAAGCCCCTCCTAGGACCCGCCATCGGTCTCTGCGCATGGACGCTCGTCATGGAAGTCTGGATGTACGCCATCCGGCTTCCAGCATACCGGAAGTACAAGGTGGACATGTCCGATCCACGAAAAGTCTCGCAGGAGCTCAAAAAAGTCCCGCCACACATATTCTACGCCGGAGAAAATTTCACGCACTTGATGGAGCAGCCGACGACATTCTTCGCGATTCTATGGGTGCTGCACGCGCTGAATGCTACGGATGCTGCAACGGTAGCTCTTGCATGGATGTATGTCGCGCTGCGGGTCGCGCACTCGCTTGTCCAGGCGACTTTCAATCAGATCGACCTGCGATTCAAGGTATTCGCAGCAAGTGGTATGGTGCTGGCGATGTTGACGGGGCGGGCAGCGATGGCGCACGTGTCCCAGGCGTAGGCCGTTCGAGAACGAAGTGATCCAGCTGTTTCGTGAGGAGGGCTTGCTGCAGTCTGCAGGCAGCTATAGCTACGGTATCAGAATCTGCGGTTGAGCGACGCGACCTGCACGAATGCTCCGATAATGGGAATGCATTCGCCCATTCGGGTCAGGGACGGATTTTTCCTTTTGTGCTGTTGTTAGCTATCGGGAAGTTCCTGCATGAGAAGGCGTTGCGAGGATGAGCCGTGCACCGGCGGTCGGGCGGGGCCGGATTTGCAGGGGAGATGTGCGTCACTCCTGAAAGTCGGTACGATCGCGAAGGATGACGGTGGCATTTTTAGCATGTGAATGGACGGAGGCGACTCCTGGCAAGCAAATGTAGAACCTTAGCAACATCTCCACACAATATACACTATGACCTGTCACTTGGCCTGTCGTTCATCATGGTCGTACCGGGAGGTGCATTTTGTCGGGTTCTCGGGCAGGTTCGCATCTTGCGGCGAAACCTTCGAAAGGTCCGGCGGTCTTCTGAGCTATCTCACTGCCGACTCTATGGAGCTTGTAGGTGCTGTAGCTGCCAGCAAAGCTGCAAAGCTGGATGCACACTACCGCGACTACACGACTGTGCCCAAAACGGCCAGAAATCCTCGGCATGTGCAAGAGTGCATATGCCTAATTCGACGGTCGCGGTACCAACAGCATTGGATTGTGCATAAGCACATTAGTGGAGGATAGTGCATGTACGTCGAGAGGCCGGGAGGCGCGGGATCTCAGGAGAGGCACAGCTCTAGGTGCATGTGGAGGCTGACCACATTGATGATGATGAGACGGCACGGGATCGCATACAATAGACACTACATGGTGCATGAGACGGCTGCGCCAACACATGCCTGGTGGGAATTGCTTTTTGTCATATGCGATGTCGCGCGGAAGCATGCTGTCCACACGCGAACAATCGACGACACCACAATGCAGTGTACCGAGGCATGCGCTGTGGATGATCTGTGAGAATGAATGGTCAATCGGCACTGGGCAGTATGACATCTCACCAGTCTTCACAGGAGCAGGACAGGGCCCCTGGAACGCTGCAAGGAACAGGCCAGTGCAGCAAGGACGAGCCGTTGAAAGACACGGAAAAGTACCGATATGCATAAAGCCGCACCCCTGCACAATCGACGCTAGCCAAGAATGTTACATGCTAAATCTAGTTGTAGCGTCCATGACTGCTTCAGGTCGCGATCATGATAGTGATTGACATCATCAATTAGTCAATACTGGAAGATCGTCCCGAAACTTAGCTGGAAGAGAATCAGAGTCCATGTCCATTGAGGTTACATTTGATATTTGATCGGTTCCTGACATCACGACAAGGAGCAAATTTATGCGCGTCCGCGCTTTTTTGTTCGCCAACGATTATACCGAGGCAGCTTCAACAGACAGGACACAGCGCGGGACAGAAAGGAACAAAGCGCTGACATGCAGTGCAGATCATGGCCGGCCGATCGAATCGGGCATCCATCCCAACCTCCCGCCCGTATTCAATGAATTCTGCTACGTATTACGCCGACAACTAACCAGCATCGCGATCGGTCGTCAGCACAGCAGAAATAACATAACCGTCATCGAGACGCACAATTCGATCCCACGCGGGAGACACGCAGAGCTGTGACACTGGCGAATATGGAGTGCACCCGACAATCGAAAGCTGGGAGCTCAGGTGGAAAAAGCTTGTGCAGACGCCCAAAGCTTGCCCGGGGCCCCGCATGTTGGAAAAGTGAAAAAAAGCCCTGGGAGAGCCCTGGAATGGCCGAATGTGTGGTCGGAGAAGCGAGAAGTAGGGGTCACCCCAATGATAACTGCCCATGTAGGTGTATCGAAGATGACTGTAGCCGACACGTGATGGTGTGTGGCTCGCCTTCCCACCTTCCCAACCACCTCATGTGTTGTCTATTTACAAATCACCTCCAACACTAGACTCTCTTTCCTTCTTTTCTCAGCGCCAAGCCTGACCATGACCCACATCGATCCAATGATCGACGCTTAGGTTGATTCGGGTACCTGGATTTGAGTGCAAATCCAAATCCGTCGTACCGTCGTATCTGCCGCACTGCCGTGGCGGCGTCCCGGGCAATTCCAGGTGGTCACTATCTCTCGCCAAACTCCCAATGCGACATGCTGTAACTACACAATCTCTATTGCTGACCCAGGAATTAGCTGCATCTGCTGATCTTTAATCTATTCGTCCATCGTCATGTGTGATCATAGTGACGAGAGATGTTATCGCAGGACAGCATGATCCAGGTCCGCCCACACCGACCTCCCTGTACTTTCCCGCTTGCAGACGTCGCAAGATCAAAGTAGTATAGCGGATCTATCATGCTGGCAATGATGAGGATGCTCCGGGCACGAAAGACGCCATAATTCCGCCGTCTCTGTGATTCAGGCGCACGTTGAGAACGCCAGCGCAGTCCCCAAGCTCCCGCCGAAACGCACGTCTCCTGCGTCCGAGTGGCTCAGCACCTCCGATTGCATCGTGGGCCAATGCCGTCACGACGTTGACACCACGGACACGGGCCTTTTCTCCGCTCGCCTTCCATCGATGTTTTTCCGTCAAGGTCCGGGCGAGGGTGCGAGGGTACCACGCGATGATCACAACGGAGATCTCCGCATTGAAGGACCCAAATGGTGCAATCGCTTTCGGCCGACTACTCGCTACCTCGGACTATGCCTGCATGACTGCATGAAGCGTTGGGCGATGATCACCACAGTGATGGCAGTTCTGGCCGTCATGATGCGATATGTCACAACTCCTGGCGAGAGATATGCTCACCACTGTATTCGGAAGCCCTTGCGGCTCAAGCTATTGGCTCGTGAATGAGAGCCTCCTCAAAGATATATAATCGTCTCCCGACGTCTTCGAACAGTTTGGAGTTTTCCTCATCCGCAGCATATCATTCAAACCAGCCCTTCTTCATCAACAACTTCACTTCTTCCGTACCTACCACTCAAGATGCGTGTCTCCGTCCTCACTCTCCTCGCGGCCACCGCTGCCTACGCCGCTCCCGTCGCCGAGGCTGCCGACGCCAGCGTTGACTCCTACGCTCCCAAGTACTCTCCCAAGCCCACCTACGGTGCCCCGAAGCCAGAGTACACTGCTCCAGCCGTCAACCCCTTCGAGGTCATTAGCGACGCTGCTCTAGCTATTCTCAAATTCAAATTATACCTCATCGAGCAAGGTGCTAAGATCATCTTGTCGCCTTTCGAGCAGCAGTACACCGACAAGTACCACCCGGCGCCTGCTTACCCGGCCCCGGCCACTCACTACGCCCGTGGCTACGAGCCCAAGCCTACTTACGGCAAGGAGAACCCCTTCGAGGTTCTCAGCGATGCCGCTCTTGCCGTGTTGAAGTTCAAGCTATACTTGTTGTCTCAGGGCGCCAAGATCATCCTCTCGCCTATCGAGGCCGCATACAATGAGGCTCACCACCCTGCCCCCGAGTACCCTGCTCCCAGCCAGCACTACGCCCGTGGCGAGTACAAGCCCGAGCCCACCTACGGCAAAGAGAACCCCTTCGAGGAGCTCTCCGAGGCTGCTATCAAGCTCCTGCAATTCAAGTTGTACTTGATTGAAACCGGCGCCAAGATCATTCTGTCGCCCGCAGAAGCCTTGTACAACGAGACCCACCACCCAAAGCCTAGCAAGACCTACTACTGAGACTTCAGCGACGATGAACGTGGAGGAAGGACATGCCTGGTGCATGTGGATTTTCCATCGGCCAGTATCCCTCGCGCATGCACAACATCGTAACGCTTGAGGCGTGGGCGGTGCTGTATCGTTGGGACCATTGAAGACGGATGAAAAGAGAATCGCTGTCACGACTTTTATATGATGTAAACAATGAATAATGCAACTTCTTGGCTCGCTCAATTTCCACATGACTCCATCGCAGTTTGATGAGGCTTTGAAATCTTGTCTCTCAACATTGTCGATTCGTTTTCAAAAGTGCACAATGGTAGTACTCAATGCTCGCATAATGCTGGTGGTTGCACCGGCGTTAATCGTCCCGCGCGCGGCTTTCCGTTTCCGGGTCTTGTTCAGAACTCCGCAAGCCTTTTTCGTGCCTGAGATACAGGTACAGGTGTCCCAGTGTCGACAGCCGCAGAAACAGCCCGCCCGGAGATGCGGGTTTGAGGCAGCCATTGCCTCGTACGCTGTTCGCCCATGCCATCGAGAATAAAGTTCTCCTTGTCGTATTTGAGCAGGAACGCGCTGGCAGTCGTGATGTTGCTTGAAGTAAATGCTTGGTCTCTCACTTGAGCTTGCCGATGTATCTTTGTTGATACGTGTGAAAGCCATAACAGCCGTAGCAGTGACGGAACGGATGGCTTGCGCAGGGATGGCGATTAAATTTAGTCCGCCCTGCCCTGCCTTTCCTCTTGTCTGTTGGTGACGTGACAACCTTAGAAATTTTAGTAACTGTATTGAAACCCGCTCATGGTCATGGCCCACCATTCAATTATGCCACGCAAATGTAAATATACTCACTACATCATTGCCGCAGCTTAAAATCGTAGCAAGGTTTTGAATATATCGAATTGACACCGTTGTGTTGTACCAACTCGGTGCCTACTACGATGTCGATGTGGAGCTGCATACATTGAAGATTTAATGTCGTCACGAAGTCTCGACAGTAGCAACTACAAGCTTGATACGTGCTTACAAGCAAATCCATTCAAAGAAGCTAATTACATCTGTAATCAATTCCATCAGTGGAATCGTGAACAAAAGACAATCGAAAGCATCATTGGGATCGTGAAAAACCGCGCGTACGAGTGAATACGAAAATCAGGAGCAAAAGTCAGAGGGCAGCCAATCTCATCAGTTCAAAGGGTCATTGGCGTCGTCAATCCTCCGGACGCTTGTTGGAATTGGAACGCACAGTGATTTCGAAATACATACACCTTGGGCCACCTCACTTGTGGGTCTTCTTTGCCGGACGTGCAGGCGGGATACGGCGTTGACTCTGAGGCTCGTCTTCCTCATCGTCATCACCGGATGGGGAGGCTGCACGCTTTTGACTTCGCTTAGACGCTGGCTTCGACAACAGTGGTGTCATAAAGGCGCTGTGTATAGCTTGCACCGTCTTGGTTGGAGTCGCAGAGGCGGTCTGTCCAGCGTTCTTGCTTGAGGTCGCGGATGCCGTTTGCCCAGAGCTTTTACGCGGCGTTGCGGAGGCAGCTTGTCCAGACTTTTTGGCAGGGGTCACGGACGCAATTTGCACAGACTTCTTACGCTAGGATGACGACAATGCCTTGGGATCGGTCTTCACTGATTCGGCCGCAGCTTGCTTGGCGAGGCGCTTTTGATCGTGGTTGTGCTGGCGGATCATCAAGCGCATAATGTCATTTTCGATGTCCTCGTTGAACTTCTGTGTACCCATGTAGTGGTCCCAGATCTTACGGTTGATAGGGTCGTTGTACAGACGAGCATCTCCGGTGTCACTGGATTCCTCTTCTTCCTCATTGTCACCGTCGTCGATTTCTTCGGGGCTGTCGTCGGTTGCCTTCTTGCTGTCGATCACCGCGTCTGGATGAGGAGCCCATGATCCCTTGATAACGTGACGACCGATGAAGTATCGCTCGTTGCAATTGAGGACGTCCTTATGGCTGTAGTCTGTCACGCCTGGTCCGCTCGACTTGTCGTATCCTGGATGCGAAAAGCCCTTGATGACTTTCAGCTGCTGGACTTCAGTCAAAAACGATTCCACTGCGGCTTTGGCTTTCTTGCTTCCGTTGGTGCGCAAGCGGCCCATTTCCTCGATCCAGGCCTGATCCCGGTTGAGGGACCACAAATCGATCTCGACTGGAAACGCTTTCAGCTGTTCGGGGTGGAACGCGTACTTCGATTTCCTCAGCCACTGACGTGTCCCGGTATTCTTAGTATCGGCACGAAACTTGTCGATGGTTCCGACGTGCCATGGGCAGGTCTTCTGCTTCTTATTGCGGTTGGCTTCGTTCCAAGCGCGGAGCGCGTTCACATCGCAGCTCATGTCGTGCTCCAAGGCGTCCTCGCCGCACAAGATCAACCCTTCGTAGGCTCAGGCAAGGCGATTGTCGATAACGTATGGCAAACCAAGTGGTGGTAAGTCCTTGTGGACACCGCATTTCTGGCTGCTGAACACGCCAGGATACCACTTGCGCAATTCCTTGGCCGTGATTTCACCGTTTTGATGCAACACGAGTAGCTCGCCTGTGACATCGTGGCCAAAGATGGTGCCCTGTGGCGGAAGCGCTGCACGAGAGATTTGTCCACGAACACAACGGTACTCCTTAAACTTGTGCCATGGCCACGACTTCATCTCTTCCAATTTCTGGTCGGATTGAACATAGCTATCATGGCCATAACGCCAGAGCTTGGCTCGGTATTGACGAACAATTGGGAGGACGTCATCGTCGTCACCGCCGTCATCTCCACTGTCGTCGCTGCTGCTGTTGTCTTCGTTTCCGTCGTCTTCTTCGCTTTCACTAACTTCGACTCTCGCGACGGCCCTGCCACCTCCAAGCTGTTGTGACTTCTTAGTATCTTTGGCCGTCTGTTGTGTCTTGTTGGATTTCGGTCCAGCATGCGTGACGATCCCATCGTCATCGGTGTCCATCAGTTCCTCGAAACGATCGTTGTCATCGATGCCAGAAATATCCTTGCTCTTGATGTTGGCAGCGTTTTCAAACAAATGTCCCTTGTAGCCCTCGACAATCGCGTCTTTCAGGAGTGCGTTAGGAACAGTGTCCCAATGGGGGATCGAGTACAACACCGGCCTGGTCCACGCATCGCCAACCTTCAGTAGTGCGGCGTTTCGCGTGACAAGCCTACGCAGGTGGACTATGAGGTTGCTTTCGACGGTATCGGGTTCTCCAAGCTCCTCGATAAAGCGCATACGGATTTCGCGTTCCAACTTGGTGACGCGAGCACGTGTGAGATTGGTTGGGAGGATGGTGCCGTCTGCGAGCGGGTCGAGTTTCAGCCATGTTAAGAAAGTGATGGCCATTCCGTTTTTCTCGCGTGGAGCGAGCATTCCGTCTTCATTCTGGTATGCTAGACCGGCAACGAAGGTCTTGTTGTTGGCTGCCTTCACGCTGCGCACGGGTTTGAACAGGCCTCGCGCCGCGTGAGGGAACTCGTCGATGAAACATGCCCGGTTCTTGATCTCGACTTGAAGATCCTCGAGGCTTACGCCTACAGTCTTTGCACTGTTCTTCGCCCAATTGCAGAGATGACGTTCGAGGTAGACTGGCATCGATTGCCAATTCTGGGAGGAAATATCTGGGATGGTGTCGTACTTGCGGCAAATTCCCCAGAGCAAACAAGTGGCATCTGGATAACCGGGTTCAATCAGCTTTCCCTCTGGTTGAATCATCGTGACGAATTCGTATCGTTGCGATGCAATGCTCCAAAGGGATACGTTTCGCTCGACTAGATATGTGTTGCTGGGAGTGCTGTCGCGAAGTCGGGATTGGAACTCTTCGAGGTGACTGTCGAGGATCTTGACCCTCTGACCGTGACGGAACACGGCGTCAGATGTCATGTGGAATCGTGAACAATGGTCATGTAGTATGAAGAGAAACATGAATCGACTGGAGTGGATAGCCAGTCTGATGAGAACGAGGCCAGAAACGATCAGTTTAGGCAGAATAGCAAGCATTTGAAGATGTAACAGTAATTGAATGTGTTTTCACCTGCACCAAATTGTTGTTATTTTTAGTGACGCTCCCATTGTTGGGCTGACGCGTCGTTGCCTACATAGATGATTGTTTGTTGACGACACATTTTCACTTGGAGGTGACGCCACTTGTTTGTTCAAATGCCTCCAGCGTCATGTAACCTTGGCGGTGTCGAGCGGCGCCCTGGTACTGATTGCAATTGTTTTACACGGGTTCTGAAAACGACTATTGCAACAATTAATGACAATGAGCTTGATATCGACTGCATTCTTGATCGCCCAGGTGCATTCTGTACTACATTTTGTAATGCCCAAGACGTACACCTGAGTTTGCGGGACACGAAACTCTTCTTAATGTGGAGATATGACCGATTAAATCTACAGTAGAAGACGCAGCCAAGTTTGGAGCTTAAGAGGTCATATGCATTTTGGACATGGTATGTTTAGGTAGAATACACAACCAAGGCCCGAGCGACTTGTAAGGACCGCTCTGTTGTTCATCTTCACGTGTGTTCTACATCTCATATCTCATTGTGAACTGTTTCCCTGACTGAGGCGCATTCTCGCCGTGCCACATCTGGTCACGCCTTTAAAAGCCCGAATCAATTTCATGCTCTACTGCCTTATCGCTGATATCGACTTGAAGAGAGCAGAAACATACCTTAAAGAGGGATGAGAGCTAGCTCAGGACAGCGACAATTTCATCTTCCCGAGCGTTAAAGGCGAATCAGTATTGTGCCTCCTCGATTTCAACAAACGGCGAGAGGCGTGCGCATTCTCAAGTCCACCCGGGCAATGCGACATGATACTCTCCTCTGCCGATCGATAAAGACGAAACGCTTCCAACGCAAACCGCCTTTCCAGATTCGCTCTCCCATAGTTGAGAGCCGCCACAAGATGGTACCGAAAGCAGCTCACCCGGTTCGCCTACCGCTCAGAATGAGGACGCATTCATCAGCACCCAAGATTATCAGCAGGGTCGTACTCCAAAGGAATCGACCGACATGTATGGATATTTCGATCGATTGGCTAAGCATTAAGATGTACATAATGATCGACCGTCTCACATCACCATGTGCCCAAGTGTGGCACAACCACAGGGACGCGGTATCCCACTTTCCCTTACTAGGTAGTTACCTTTGGAGTCATCACCCTTTGTACGTGGTTTACAAACTCAGGTACCTAGGTAATCATGCTTTCCAAGGTTGCTTTCTGTAGCTTTCTGAGCCCGGCGTCTTGATGAAGCCGGGCGCACCGAGCGCGCCTTCCGCTCAAAGACTTATAGATGAGTGAGAACTCTGCCCCGGTGGCTGTCAAACTTACCTGAGTATAGTTCGCAAGCATTCCGTCACAACTGCCAATCTGAGCTGATGGGCGAGATTTCCAATTTTTGCCAAATTTGTGAGTGCCACTGTGGCTACGTCTACCACGCTTCTCGCGTTACCAGCGCCTCAACCTCAAACTTGACAGCTGTCGAGGCTTATTGACTTTCTCTACGTGATAAATAAGCAAGTTTTTCATGCCTGTGATTGCCTGAAGTTGCTACCGACTAGAGAGGAGTACAGGATTCCAAGGAGACGTCAGTGACATGCACGGTCTGTACTGACGGCATGATGCTGAGACCGACCCTAGTTGTGTCTGAAGGACCTTCACGCCTGCTAATCCTGCCTTTTCCTCGTACTTACCACTTTAGAGGTAGTCTTTGGTGCACTTCTAGTCCAGATGCAGGCTGTCCGTGAATGGCAAGAGCACAATTAGCCCGTCAGTACGATGAGATCGACAATGCTGTATCGATGGACATCAGACTTTCATGGAATTTTGTACACATATACCAATTACAGGCATATTGCTGAAGCCAGTCTCACCTTCCTCTGTACAGTCGTAGTTGATCTCGTTGTTCACTAATGTTCGTTTGTGAGTCTTGAATGGAAATAATCAATTGAAGTCAACGACCTCAGATCGAAACAAGTGAGTGATTTCGCAATACTTGACGACGAAACCACTGCCAGCCAGTCTCTATTCCCTTACGGACTTCGCTCTTCCTAGTCACTATGCCGACGAGTCACTACGACACGGCCTCGATTCCCATTGTGGAAGAACTTTTCTCTGGCGCCGACGAAGATCTGTTAGCCTTGACTTTAGAAATCGAACGCAGCCATTCGATTTGCCCGTCAGCGTCTGGGCCTCCTACAGTTCCGCAAGTTGAATTGATGCCGATTGATGTCGTCGACCTTACTCGTAGCTCTGAGGATGATAACGACTCCCTGGGTTCGCTGTTGAACACACCTCTCTCTGAGTCTGTGGAAACGATTCTTGACTTTGATAACATTGAGGATGCCGTCTATCCCTCGAAACCACAGCGAGCTTCTGTGCCAGACCCCCGAAAGGCTACTTCGATTCAAGAAACGACCGCCTCGATTCCATTTTCCGATTGGGCGTCACGTTCATCGAAGCCGCAATGTTTGACGTCCGCAATCGAGGGGAAGTCGAAGCGCACATTGGCTACGGCCACATCTCGTCGGACGACAAGGTCAGTGGCGAAGAGCTTGTTAGTTGAAGAGCCACCTCAGTCAGAGACAATTGGAGAAGAATTGAAGACGAATTACGCTACCAGGAAGTCCGACAAAGCTTGCGGCTCCAAGCAATTGGTCCGGAAATCGATTGACAGCATTGCTGTATCTAAAAAGAGGCGGATTAACGCTCATTCTGTCGCCATATCGATCCTAGATCCGGATAAGCAAAGTGGTGTTGACACGAACCTTAGCGACAGCAAGAGCGACGAAGCCAACTGGGAGGATGCGAACAAAGATGTTGGCAGTGACGACGAGTTCGGCGATGTCTCGGCGGGCGATGAGTCGGATGAGGGTTCTGAGTATGGCCTCAGTTCTGAATATGAATTGGACAACGAGCCTCTCTCGGATTGCGCTGGCAATGACGATGCTGTCAATGTCCAGGTCGAGGATTTCGGATCGACACCAGCTCCGTCTGGCCTGTTAGGTCAACAGCATTGTGCGGCGGATCCAACTGCCGCTCCGCTAAAGGAAGCCGAAGAGACGCCGAATGAATTCGACAGTAACAAACTGACGAATGAACAATGGCGAGTAAGATATGCGGGACACCTGCAAGCACGCAATGGCCGCTTCATCCGCGCCAAGTACAAGGAGTATGATCCAGCAGCATTCGAAGCGATTGATGTCTCTGAGCACATTCGTAATGATTTCGACACCAGCAGCTTGAAATTTGATGTCCTCGAAGGCAGATTTCGTCATATCTGGACTCGTTACTACTATGAGGCCGACGAGAAAATTGCTGGTAGAGCTTCACTCATGGCTAAGCCCAGAGCGTATTCACTGAAACGAGTTGATGTCGATTTCGAGATTCGGTTTGTGCTGGCCAACATGCATCCAGATAACAAATACGTTCTCAACCTCCCTAGATCGACTCTCGATCATGAGACTTTATTGCGTATAGCTCCGATTTTCGAGAGCGACCTGCGCAAATGGGTCGTATACATCGTTTGGTACGAATTGCCGGACGGCTCCATCATTCTGATCTATATTGGCAGTTGTACAAGCCGCGAAGGATCATTCGCTCGGCTGTTCAAGATTTATGAGGCTGGGGTGGTTTATCTCAAGAACGGGATTTTCCTTGGCTCCATGAAGCATGTTGGCGCATCTCACCATATGCTGAACCTGCCGAAGGGAACTCGAATGCACATACGTGTCCTATGTTCATTCGATATCCCGAAAGATCCTGCAGAATATGTCCGGGTTAAGAAGATCGTCTTACGATGGGAGGCGATCTTCATGGACGACTTCCAGGTGTTCCCGGAAGCCGCGCCTGGGGAAGTAATCACGATTGGCGCACAAGTTATCGCCCGGACAGAGATTAAATCGTTTTCTACCTCTGTCTGCCCTCCAGGGGAATTGCATAGCTTCCGTGGTCTTAACCGTATGCATCCCTTCGCGCTATCCTTCAAGTTCAGCAAGGCTGCGAGGACACGGACTCTGAACGCAAAGGCGGAACTCGCCAAACAAGGAGGCCGTTGCAAACTGGATGGCCGCCGAATTCATTCTCATCGTCCTGCTAGAAATCCCTTTCGAAACAAGATTCCGGGTTACGATGACAAGTATTGTTGCGAGCATTGTCGTATCTGGCACCGCGTTATGGATGACGATACCCGTGCAAGAGCTTTCGCTTGCGAAACCGTCGCGCAACTTATCGATCTACGGGTCCTTACTGTCGAGCACATGGATATTGACCTGGTTTTCGCGCATGTTACATACTGCGCCGTCTGCGAGAAGCCGTTTCTTCCGAGGCCATCCAATTTGAAAAGCCGGATAAGCACAACGTGTGGCACTAAAAACACTAGAGGAAATCCGAGATGGCGTTCCAAGATCCGAAAGGGCCTGCGAAACAGGTGGCCTGTGCTACGACATCTCGCGATCTGTTGTGTTGAGGATGTGCTTCGTTTCGAAGGTTTCCGGGGCCTGGAACACAAAAGTCCATACAATGAGCTCAGAACTTCTGGATGCGATATCCCAAGGCTTCGCGAAATAATAGCGTATGCCCACTCAATGTACAGGGTCGCAATGAAGGCCAAACCAAGGGCGACCATCATCGCCGGAGAGAAGTGTGGTATTTGCGATTGCAACCTTAGGCAGATCTCAGACACCGAAAAACTTAATGAGGTCGAGGTATCTCGCGATTCCGTTGTCCGGAGCGGAGGTTTCGACGTCAGTGATAAAATGAAAAGCGTGATCAACTGCCTTGCCAATGTTACCTGGCATGTTTGTGGCGGATGTCACCTTGTGATCAAAAAGCGGACGGAACCAGCGTGCCCGGCCAAGTTCAAATGGGCGAAGAACATTTCGTTATCCTCTATCCGGCGTGAGATCGCTTCCTTCAAAGCCGAATCACTCCGGCAAATGAATCGTAAAAGAAGGGCACAAGGCGTTCTCGACGCCAACTAAACTACGAGTACGGTTTCTGGCTGCTCTGTAGCAAATCATCTTATTATACGCGTTCTTGTTCAATATCCTCAATTTGAAACGTTCTAAGGTTCCCATGGTGGGACATGTGACTGCGATCTCACATCTACGGCGCATTCCAATAAGACTTCAGAGTAACGCAAACATGTGGGCAACAACTTCTAGGGCTTGGAAGTGAAAGCGTGTCGCACAAGAATTGTTGTGGCAACGACACATTCCGCCCCCAGCAACATAGTCACAACGCAGACTTGGTCAACCTCGTGTCACGATCGCCTACGAGAAATGTGTTCTCACGGGTTTTCTCATACGAACATCGTCGTCGCTTTCATCACACTCAACGACATCATTCTTCTTCATATTCGAAAGCAATCAATACACTCTGCAACGTTGAACATTTTCATATTCGACAAACCTTCTGCCTTTCGAAAAGCCACCAGGAAACAGAAACACAACCATGACATCGGCGAAACCGTTCAGCGAGGAGGACACCCGCTGGAAAACATTACTTAACGACCAGCTGAGCGAATTTCGATTTGTGCTCGGACTAGGCAGTGTCGAATCGATCCGAGGCCCGAGGAAGCTCTCTAGATACGACATGGATCGCGACCAGGTTGAATTCGTCACTATGGTCCAGCCACCGGGTATGCTGGTAGAAGCAGGCTATCCAGACGCTATTTGTGTCTTGTGGAATACGTGCCGCGTGATCTCGGTGGACATCGACTTGACTGGAGCGACCTGGGAAACGTTGGCCGATCGACTTGAAACAGGACTGATTCAGTACATCGCCAAAAACGACGTCAACGTTCCTACTCAAGGCCGTATGACGCTGGAAATCCTTCGCCGTCAGATCGCTGATCGCGTCGCTTGGATCGATTACAATACATATGCGACCGAAGATTATTTTCGCGAACCTCGCGGCCCACTGGCCATTAACAACAAGGACTTCGTGATGGGCCTCGCCTACAACAACAGAGACGGAATAGTAGCTCCCGGAAACGTCAACTGCCTGGCTATTATTTATTATACATGGCTACGCTTACATCCACGAAACGCGAAATATACGCCAACAAATTTGACGAGAGCGAAAGCAGCGCAGATGGAACGCGAAATTCGCGCGGTATTTTTGAGCCAATCCGACGACGCCCAATCAATGACGGAAGCCGAGTTCGTGGAGCTGCTCAAACTCGAGGCAACGACCAACGCCGAAGTCCTCGGACTTACGAAGGGCGGGAAAGGCGATATCACACGCCACATTCGCCCAAGATGGAATGTCATTGAACCAGGCCAGATTCGGGACCTTGTCATTCAGGGTTACGATCTCATCGATTCGCTTACATGTAAGGACGTCGGCCATCAAAAGAGCAATGCGATGAGCCGAGATGGAAGCGGAAGCAAGAGCGGCAAGGATAACAAAAGTAAGACTCGTGGATCGTCTAGCAAGTTGCCGCAGCTGGGAGGTGGAAAGCCTTTTGACCAGCCAAATGAGGATTCCGAGGACATCGAAAGCAGCGTCGACGACCAGAATGATAGCAACGGGGATGACGAAGATCCCAGTAACGACGAGTCAGAAACAGGTCCAAGTGTCCCAAACATCCGCTTATGGCGATACGGTGTTGACGATTACATGAAGTCAGAGGAAGAGTTAGACGCCGGCCTAAACAAAAGTCCTTGGGAGTTTCCCTACTATCATTGCGTTCACGGAGCGATCAACAGGAAATCGATGCCACCACAGCATACGATCTTTGGCAATGAGGTCACCGGGGAGCTATTCAAGATGTTGCAGAGTGGTGAAGTGACTGGGAGCGAGCTCCGTCGCTGGTATCCAGGAATCTTCAGTGGCGACAAAGGCGGCATTCGTCGCGATGTCCCACCCCTGGGACTGCCGTGCGTTATGAACGGCAACTTTGCTGAGGCTTGTCAGGGATACATCCTGTGCGGCCAAGACGCTCTGGAAGGCGACTTCGAATGCGATGTTAACGAGATCCTCAAATCCAATGCACAGAATCGAAACAAACGCAAGAAAAAGCTCCCATGGCATACCTCACTTACTATTGATGCTTTCACCGCGAAGTTCAAGAAGGCCAATCGCCATTGGCTTAGCGAGTCCGACCTCGTGTTCGATCCGGAGAACGTTAAGTGCTGGCCGGTGGAGGTCGATCTCGCCTCAATCAATGCCGACGAAGCATGGCTCGATAAGCTTCAGCATCTGCGAGGCTCTGAAGATTCAGTAGCTCGAAGAGCAGTCCAAGAATTCGTTATGGATGTTCGCAACATGAAGAATGATATTGCGGGGTTCGTCCATCCCAAGTTTGACGGGAAAGCGAAGCCAACACCTGTGGATTACGACAATCCTGACGTTATTACATGTAGCAAGCGGCTCTTCGTCGGGCGGAGCGAGAATCGTAAAGGCTGGGCCCCGGCGGACGAGGCTCTTGCTTTCGAAACCATTCAGAGCAGTCAAAACGAATACTTGGAGCCAGAAGACTTGTCAGACAATGATGATAACGATCTAACCAAGCATGACCACGATGCTGCCTTCGTCGGCTTTCGCACACGGCTGTCACAACCAAATTCGAAAAAGCGCAAGACCACAGATGACTTCACGGACGACGAAAAGCCAGTGCCCAAGGCCTTGAAGACGGGTCGCCTCTTGAATGTTCCCAGCAATCAAGTTCTCTTCGACCGCTACATGCACAAGCAATTATGGGACCAGGATATCGAGAACCAGATCGTGAAGCTGTTCATCGAGCAAGATCGTCGTGATGAGGCTCGTCTTAAGGAACAGGCGACGATATCGTCTACGGATACGACCGCAATGCTGCCCCCGATTCCAAGTGACAGCTCGCAATCTCGCAAGACCAAGGGCCGCGCAAGTAGTGTCTTGTCTTCGGTGGCTCTACCGAGCCCGACTCCAACGAAGACGACTGCGAGTGCGCCAGCCGTCAAGGGCAACGATACTCCGAATACGACTGCTGGGCCAGCCAAAACGACGACCGCTGCCGTCACTCAGCCTCGTCGCTCTCGGCGCGATCGAAAGACACGCCAGTGAGGGACCTTATCATGAGAAAACGTAAGGATTGCCTACATGGGCAGGCAGGCGATGACTATGACTCTAGAAGGACCGCAGTACCATCTCTGTATTCGAAAGCAGTCTTTGTTGATTTTTCAGATTCTTTCTATAGCCGTGATCGAATGTTGAATGCAGTAGTGCGTCGAGATAGTTTTGTCAATATGGTTATCACGTTACGTCTTCCTCATTGTCATCATCGATGATGGCATCCTCCTGATGACCTATAGAAACGATTTGATCTGCTTTTATCTTTGATACTACTAAATCTACGTCCAGACAGAACACTTAAACAACGCCAATTATGCCCGACAATCTTGGGATTCATTGAAAGTCACATCTCATTTGATTCGACGAAAAGGGATTCGTCTTCCTTGACGTTCCTCACATATACTGTAGATGGCTCGGATTACTGTATGGTCATGTTTGAATGCGGTTCCAGCAGCATTATTGATATGATATTGTGGCGTCCGAAGCCGCCTCGCAGATAGAGTTTGACTTTGTCGCCGACCTTGAATGCATGAGGTATTGTCATCGCTCGTGCCATCGCTCGTGCCATCGCTCGTGCCCACGCCAGTGCGTCTGACATGCCGAAAAGCGAGAGTCTTGGGATTTTTTATGCGCGACTGATCAGAAAGTCATGTCACATGCAATTACACGAGAACAGTTTTACTTTTCTGGTTCATGGAATCTACGCCACAGATCTGAAGTTATTATCACAGCAGAACATCATCCACAGAATGTTGATTTAAGTACGCGAGTCATGCTGCCCGCGGAGGTGCGCCTGACTTGGGAGGTAGTCCCTGAGATCATATCAATGACCTCGGCAGCCAACTGAGATCGCGGGCTTCCACGACACAAACACATACCTAGGTGCCCACGTGCCTCCGGAATTCTCGCGCGCGGGACCTGCCAAAGCATTGCCGCTGCACAGCAAACGGAAATTTGTGGTTGCTAAAATTGCAGGGCAAAGTTCACTTGCCGTGGCGAGAACATGCGCTTCGAATGAGGTTGAAGGACCACTAGCGGAGACGGCAGGTGCGACGAAATACTCGCCTTTTAGAATAGTTCGCGTTGGACAGCTGGGTGGCAGAATGCCAATCTGCCCCGATCTGTGACCGAGCTAGTTCAAAAGCAGCTCAACGATGAGGATGACTTCTGGGCTGACCATGATGATGATGGCTTTGGTAATCGGTTCACTCTTTACGATGAACCAGATTATCAAGATGGATTCATGTGGGATTGCCGCGACACTGCAGGCGATGCTGAAGGTTGCGTGAAAAACAGGCACAAGCCGGTTGGTTACAGCGACAAGCGCGCAAGGGCATGAATTTCGCCCGGACGATCGTCATATATGCCTTTTGTCATTATTGTTGTTGTTATCATAAGTCTATTCCATGAACGTGTTGAAGAACAGGGGTCTTAGATGAAAATCTCCGCTGCATATGAATTGTTATAGCGACCACCCAAGAAGCTGAGATCATCAATCTATCTCAAGTGGAGCTCATGAGGTCGCGATGACGATGAGATTATGGACGTGTACGAGCTGTGTGGCTTAGGGTTGTCTTCGTCCTCTCTCTATATAGACAACAACAGAACGATCAGGATTGTCATCGTTGAACGTGCAATATAGAGCTCAGATTGGAGAAGAGGATGTCGGAATCACGGTTGACATATTTCACGTGTACTCTCGGCCAAGCTGCAGAGTGGAACAAGAAACATCCTCATCATTACACGACTGTCAATCACCTCGTTGACGAACAAGCCGAGAGCTCGCCTCTCCGACAAGCAATCAACTTTCCGAATATTGGTCCCGACAAAAGTAGTAACCATGCAAAGTCGGAATTCACATACCAAGAGCTACGGGCGCATTCAATCGCAGCTGCAAGAAAATTTGATCTAAAACTTCAGGAAACGAACCTCAATAGCTCGTCTGTAGTCGGCCTTCTGTGCACGAGCACCCCCGAGTTCCTCCTTGCATGGCTGGGATTGATGAGACTCGGAAAGTCGGTCTTGTTGCTTGCGTATGTTCTCCACAGCCTCTTGATACGTACCGCTATGCAGTAGGCATGATCTGACGTGTGCAGTCCTCAGCTAGACGGGAATGCGATCAAGCACCTTTGCAGTACTTTATCGGCGGAGGTGATCTTTGCGGACTCCCGTCTTTACGAAATTGCTAAGCACGTTGACGATCAAATTGGAGCCATCAACCTCAGTGACGTGCTTGAAGCTCCACAGGTGGGCGATTCATACTTATCAACCAATATCAAATCTAGTGATGTTGCTTTCCTATTTCACACGTCAGGCACATCGTCGGGATTGCCCAAGAGCATTCCGCAGACTCATCACGCAGCAGTAGGCGTGCTTCCAAATTTGTCTGCCAGTCAAGGGCAGGCTACATTCTCCACCACACCACTGTATCATGGAGGCATAGCAGATTGTCTACGTGCCTGGTCGAGCGGCGCCACCATTCACCTCTTTCCAGGAACGCAACCAATTACCACGACGAATATACTGCGAGCACTTGACCAAGCGAACAAACATGCAGATAGGGCATGCACTGTTAAGTACTTTACTTCTGTACCTTACATCCTGCAGATGCTCGTCGCAGAGCCAGCATCATCGGAAGGATCCCAGGGAATATTGGCCTTACAGCAGATGGATCTCGTTGGCGTTGGTGGTGCAGCACTTCCGACTTCGCTTGGAGACGAACTAGTCTCGAATAGTGTGAACCTGGTCTCACGATATGGCAGCGCCGAATGTGGATTCTTGCTTTCTTCACATAGAGAATACGAGATAGATCACGAATGGTCGTGGCTGAGATCAGATCCCATTCTGCAGCCAAGATTCTATGACTTTGAGCCTCAAGCAAATGCCAGCACCGGAGATGAGCCTGAGTTGTATGAGTTTGTGGTGAAGCCTGAATGGCCGCACAGAGGAAAGACTAATCGACCGGATGGATCCTTTGCAACAGCTGATCTGTTCGAAAAACACCCATCTGTTCCGAATGCCTGGCGCTATCACAGTAGAGCGGATGCCCAGATCGTACTCGTGAACGGCAAGAAATTCGATCCTTCGCCGATCGAAGGTGAATTGCTAGCATCAGCGGCTGGTCAACGATTCATCAAAGATGCTTTGATTTTTGGCACGGGCCGTGAGGTCCCAGGACTCTTGTTGATTGCCCGTGACAGCAAGAATGGCATTGACGAAGAGCATCTCGTGAAGGAGGTCTGGTCCACGATTGAAGAGATGAATAAAGACACCCAGAACCATGCCAGGATAAGCCGTGCAAACATCGTTATTGCAAGAAACCAATCGTCTGATGCATTGGCGCTGCCCAAGAGTAGCAAGGGCACGATTCTACGGAAGCAAGCGGAGGCCTTATTTCAAGCTGTTATAGAGAGGGCTTATGGAGATACAACCGGTGATGATGCCTCGCACGGTAAATCGCTTGGCGACATGTCGGAGGAACATATTTCGGAAGTGCTCTCCAAGCTGTTCGACGATGTTCTGGGTCGGCATATCGAGCCATCAAGGGATCTATTCACGCAAGGCGTGGATTCGATCGCCTGCATGCAGCTAAGAAAGCGTATCAGCAAGACACTTCTCGATTCTTCTGACACGGCTCTTCCTCTCAATGTCATCTACGACCAAGGCTCCATTGATCGTCTGTCGCAATACATATTCAAGAGGCGCAATCCGAATGACGCATACCATGAGTCCGAAGATGATCAGTCTAGAGAAGAGCAGCGCATGCTGGATTTACTGGATACATACCGACATCAGATAAAACCACCAAGGACTGCCCACAGTCAAGATAGAAAGCGGAACGTTGTTCTGACAGGTGCTACTGGTCTTCTTGGTGCTCATCTGCTAGATTTGCTCCTGCAGGATCCCGATGTTGCTCAGGTCACCTGTTTGGTAAGAGCAACAAGCATCAGCGATGCAGCAGAGAGAGTGTCCAACTCACTCACGGCCCGAGGATTGACTGCTTCTGGAGGCTCAAGGGAGAACCAGGCACGTCTAGCGTGTCTACCGTGCGAATTGGACAACGACAGGCTCGGACTCATGGAAGGCGAATGGAAGAAAACCGCCGATGAGACCACACTGATTGTTCACTCTGCGTGGCCGGTAAATTTCGCACTCCGGCTCGGATCTTTCGAGAGTCAGCTTGCTGGTCTTCGAAACCTGTTGCGCTTGAGAGATGCCACTCAAGACTCCGCAGCTCACTTTGTATTTGTTTCCTCAATCGCTGCCGTATCTGCTGCAAGTGTCACAGATGCACCGATATCAGAGAGTTTGAGCTTCAACCCAGCCGATGCTTCTCCTCTAGGATATTCAAGATCTAAATGGGTTGCGGAGAGAATATGCGCTTCGAATGAGGTTGAAGGACCACGAGCGGAGACGGCAGGTACGATGGAATACTCGCCAATCACAATTATTCGAGTTGGGCAGCTTTGTGGCAACGTCAAAGGCGCGTGGAACAGGACCGAAGCATACCCGCTCATGCTCTCTGCCGCCAAGATCACAGGATGTCTTCCAAGGCTTGACAATGCCCTTACCTGGCTACCGGCTGATCAAGCTGCGAGAGCCATAATCGAGATCTCCTTTGAGCCCATTAATCGGAAAAGTAATGCAACAACATTGTACCACGTGCTAAATCATCATCAAACCCCAACATGGAGCGAAACCATGTCAGAGATTGTCGAATCTGCGCGGTCTGCTGCCAAGGAAGATCCCGCCAAGGGAGGTTCAAAAGCGCCATGGGCAGATGTCGAATTAGTCCCGCCATCCTCATGGCTCCAACGTCTTGAGCAGGCGCTAGAGACCACCGATCATCCAGCGCGATCATTGCTTTCTCTTTGGAAAAGCGCACATGCGACAGAACAGCAGAGCGTGGCACCAGAGTTCTGCAGTGATGAAGCACAGGCTGTTTCAGAAACTATGCGCAAAGTGCAGCCTTTGAGAAAGGAAGACGTGATGCGGATGTGGTCGTGGATTGACAAGGACGAGCAGACCGCCTCTCAAGCATGAGTGCCTACAAATGGGACATACGGCCGTCGACGGCTGCGTCGTGTGGACTCAGCCGATAACGACCATCGGATTGTTGCTGCTCAGTCCATGCGGTCGTTCTCGCGAATGGTGCCCACCTGGGCAGGTGAATAGCTCGGTTGTTGGCTGAAAATGGAATCAAATGGAAGCTGGAGAGTCGCAGATTTTATGTCAGCAACAACGAATCATCGTCGCCTCAAATGATGTAAAGGCGCAGGACGGTGGGACGAGAGCTCGAAAGCGGGCTCGGACCTGAACTTTGTTTAGAAATGGCCTGCGTTTCCGCCAATCAATGGCGTGCCATTGGCCTCGCTTACCCATTTTCACGGAGGGTAACCCCGGTAGCCCCGCAGGAATTTCCGGGGAAGAAGGGATTCCAATGGCGCACAGCGAGCGAGTACAGCTGCGCAGCTTCTGGGTCACAAGCAAGAAATTCATCGGGATTATTTTTAGTGTGAGGGAAGCTGTAGCTGGAGCCTGGAGCTCGTCGGGGAGTCGGTATCACCTTATGTTCTCCTTCATTCCCAATCAAATTCCTCCTTCTTCACTCTCTTAACATCTTGCTATCAACGCATTTGCAAAAGACTCACCACGACAATACCGCAATCATGTCCAAGTAAGTACTCAGTGAACTTGCCGAACGTTGTGAGCCACCGACTGACCTGTCATTTCTCGTTCTCCAGGCCACTTCATCCCGCGACCGTTCACTTTCCCATCGCCTTCCTTTTCCTCGGATTCGGCCTTGATATCATCTATCAAGCCGGCGACCGAATCCCCGCCAATGTTTCTCAGCACCTCCCCAACGCCGCCGACCTCACCCGCGCCAGCTACTACCTCATCCTGCTCGGCCTGATCAGCGCCGTGCCAGCCGTGATCACCGGTCTCCAGCAAAACATCCTGATGATTGTCAAGCAGGGAATGTATGAGACCGACGGCAAGACCATCAAGACCAAGGTCAAGGCCGCCATCTCTCACGCCGTCGTTATTGACATCAGCCTCGCCTTGACGGCGTATGCCTGGTACGCTCGTCGCACACAACTTCTCGCCGGTGTCATTCCCACCAAGCTCAACATTGCCCTTCCCTACGCACCTGAGGCGTGGGTTGTTGGTGCAGAGGTTGCGGCTTTGGCGATCATGTCGTTCGGTGCCAACATCGGTGGATCTCTGACCTACAACTACGGTGTCGGTTTCTCGTCGCTGAGCGCGGCTGTCAACAAGAAGAAGCAGTAAATGGTGACACTGTCTTGTCTGCAATGAGGGCATGCACACGGAGGACGTACGTTACATTGGATGGATAAGGATAAGGGCGGCGTTGAATTATCTAGGTAATGAACAACGAGCGGCCTAGGTCATTAACAAATGGCGAAGCGCAGCGCGTATGATAAAGCACGACTTGCAAGCGCTGGTCTTTATACGAACCATGAAGAAACAAAAAAGCATTCGCAATCATCCGCATATGTGCATTACAATTGCATTTTGGACTTTTAGTTCGTGTTTACATCTTATGTTCGTCAGATCATAACTTCGCGCCAGCCTGCAGCGCTTCCTCTCTCGTGATGACTGCAAGGTTCCTTGGGCCTTCCTTGCTGAAAGCCGTCAGTACAAAGTAGTCTTTGCATCCTTCACGCTTCAAGCCCGCTTGCTCGAGCTCCAATCCCGGCCGATGCAAGCCCATGACCGATCGTCCATCCTCACGCTTCTTACTCAGCGGCACAGGTCCGGGTGAAATGCACATGTCGGTCCAGGCAGGTGAACCGCTTTTCACAAATTCGAATAGCCGCTTCCGTCGTGCCTCTAGCTCTGCCCGCTCAAGAGGTGCCCTCGACAATGACCCGTATGCTGACGGCGCATCGAGCCCATCGAGGTATTGTGCAACCAAATGGAGCAGGAAAAACTGCGGTGGGAACATGATCAATCTTCCCTCCTGCGCTAATCTACACCATGCCGACGCAGGCAGAAAACGTGCAGTCGTGTGCTCCTTGCCGCCATCCGTCGTCGGCGTGGGAATACGAACTTCCGCCTCGCTCTCCGCCGCCTCTGCCAACGCATCGTTCACGCCCGACGCCGATTTCGAGGTCGGCAGGAAGTATAGATACATCTGCGTCGTGAATCTACGCGGTACGTTTGTCGGCGTGACCCATCGCGTAAAGGGTATCAGACCATCGAGGTCCGCTCGGCCGCCTTTCTGCGCGAGCCATTTCTCAAAAGGGATTTGATCTGCATGGACCGCTTTCCGGCCGGCCTCGCGCTCGGCCTCGGGGACTTCGATGAGGCGGCCGAATCCATTGTTCCGCGCGAGGAGGATTCCGGATTCTTCGAATGTCTCCCGAATGGCGGCCATGCGGTATACTTCGCTGTCTTCGTGTCTCAAGGGAGAGTCTGCTGCTGGGGCTTCGCCATCGTGGAATGCGGAGACGTTTCCTCCCGGGAAGACGTGTGCGCTCGGGAATGATGAGGATTGCTTCACGCGCTGGAGGAGCAAGACCTGGTTTTGGGGTGAGATGAGTAGGACACTGGAGCTTGGTCGCGGTACGTCCAATTTCTTCTCTTTGGCTGCTGCAGGCATCTTGTCCAGACCGCTCTCGCTGGAATACAGGCGGCTCTGCCGAATTGGTGCACGTTGGGCCGGATATGTTTGAGCCTGCTTTGGACCTTGCTCGCACGCTCGCGTTGCTGACAGTTTTCTATGCGATGGTCCTCGAAAACAGCTACCTAATGCTCGATTCCTGATTACGTGTGTTGGAACCAGCATTGACATATTTACCTCGAGTCGCAAAGTCCATGCGTCCGGCGTCATGGATCCCGCTCCAGGGCTGTTCATGGTGTGAGGATGACTAATCTTAGCAGTCCGTTTGTGATGAGTAAGCGTGTGTCAATCGCAGAGGTCTAGGGTTACAGTATTCTCAGCTGGAATTCTTTTGTCTTCTTCAAACATCTCAAAGTTTACAACTCTGGCCTATCGCGTGCGAAGTTAAATAATGCTGGCAGAATCTTTATGGTAAAAGATCTTGGAAGAAGGAACGTAGCTCCATTGGTATACTGCAAAAGACACAATCACGCAAAATTGAGAAACATCATTTCTGGTGGATGATTGATTGTCTACATATGAACGTCTCGCTTTCGGAATAACAGGTCCGAACACATCTGAGAAGCTTAACTTGCATTTAATTTTCCTAGAAGCAGCAACGCTCATCTCCATTCAGCTTGCTCAAGTTCCATCGCTCATCTAGCAAGCCTTGGTAGACCAGAAGTGGAAAGGAGCATTCGCAACACCCTTGTCGTCCAAACGGTACTTGGTACCAAAAGTCACATCCTTGAAGGTCTGGCTTCCAACCACACCGCCACTTCGGCAGTCATTGCTCTTGTAGGTCTGAAGGCAGTACGGTCCGTCGGCGGTGCCGCATGTGAGGCAGCCGCCCTGAGAAAAGACGATGTAGTCGGCGCCACTGTTCTGGAAGCAAGCGTCGTTGCCGACATCGTAGTTGACGGCACCGACCTGGTCACCGGTTCTTGTGTAGAAGGTAGAGTAGACGTCGGCAGCGGCGACTGAGGTGGCGAGAGCGCCGATGAGGGCGACGATTTGGACGTTGACGAGCATCGTGATGATGTTGTTTGGGGAGTTTGTCTGCACAAAGATATGTCAGGAATCCGTCGGCTCTGGTATTTTCCATGTGACTTACTTGATGGGTATGAAAAGCTGAGAAGATGCGGTGTTTGCTGAGTCGATGAGTTGCTCGAGAAGGTCGTTCTTGAAGGCCTTATATCTATTTCTCTACGGCTGCCCTTCAAGGAGTGTAGGCCAAAGAATCATCTTCATGACAACCATGACGTACTCATGTCGTTGAAAGCCTCGCATAGCAATGCAGTCCCCGGTCGAGCACTTCGAAATTATGCGACATGAGTCGAAATGATATTACGTGACATGAGTCACAATGATATTGAAAGCGATCCTATCCTTCTCGTCGATCGAAGGCACGATTGAGACAAGCGGACCAGGCTGGAGGCTAATGATTTAGCCGGACACGTGCCGAAGCCGTGACTTGCACGATATCGCACGCGGAGCAGGGATATTTTAGCGTCACTGGTGCTTACAGCTTAATGTTGGGAGCGATCTGGGTGTTTGGAAGAAATTTCAAGGTTCTGTGCACGTTTCTGAACGCAGCGCACCTACGACCACGCTGCAGCTTCTTTCCCGAGAACATATCTGGGCCGTGCACTTACTATCAGACGCAAAATGGAGCGATTCGCGATCCGCGGCCATGTCTTGAAGCCAAAGACACTCGAGCAGAGACCTCCCCAATTTGATCTCACACTCTGTGAAGCTGTCCAATACACGGTGCCTGTCCTTCAAAGCGCCAGTGAAGATCAATGCCGGCATTGGTAGCCGCCCCGCCTTGCTCGACCCAAGTTGTTCACCACATCGTCTTACAGATGCGCGTCAATTCGGGATTCAGCCGCATCCAATTTTGGATTGGCGTCCATTCTCCGGCTTTTGTCAAATTATAGCAACCATGACTTTCTCTGAGGTGACATCACGAGAGTGGGGGTCGAAGCGGGTTTCCGAATGTTAGCCTTCACAGCCCCAACATGTCCGCCAACTTTAAATCTTGTGCCACGCGTACGATCTCGAGGAGCATCGCCGATCGTCCGCTAGCCTGTCGAAATAAAGCTTCTGACCGCTAAGTCAAACGCCGTGAAGGATCGCTAGTTCTCATGTAGGCTGCACATGTTGTGCACTTGTCTCATCGTGAGCCTTGAAGGGTGGACAAGACTCACAGTGAGTCGAAAATCCAAAGGTGAGATCCTTCATGACGCACGCCAATGGAGCGTCGCAAGAGCGACGTGATCATGATACTGTCCCATGGTAACGAAGCAATGTTCTGTGGAGATGGTAGCATGTGCATCTCTGTATCGGTCATTGCGGAAAGATTCTTGTCGTTAGAGGTTTCTTTGCGAAACGATTCTATATAAGCGGTGCACGATGCCCGCAAAAAACGACATTTCTTTGAAGGCACTTCTCATCCAACCTTCTGGTGAGTCCTCTATGCTGAGGATTACCTCGTCTTGTGATTTCGCTCCGAGAAAATGCTAAGACATGATCGCAGACTATTCTACTCCTTGACAACAATCAACGCACTCTTATCATCAAACATGCAGTTCAACATGAAGCTCGTCGCTTTCCTGAGCATTGCCACCGGCACCTTCGCTGCCGATGTATACTCGATCTTCTTCACAGAAAACGACAAAAAAGTCGGAAGCACCAACTATGATGTCTCCAACGACAGTGAGTTGTCCTAATATCATTCGCAATAGATGTTGGACACTACTGACGCCATTTGATGTTGCAGGCTGCTTCCTCAACGCGGGCTCAACCAAGGTGTCTTTCAGCCAAGCAACGGCCAACTCGTTCGCTGAAGGACCGTACTGCCTTACTGGTTACAGTGATGATGGGTGTGGCTCGTCGACTGGTTCGCAAACATTCGAACACGTTCCCGTCGCGAACAGGGCGGAGAATGGCGTTAAAATTATCCTTGACGGCGGTGTTGCATCTGGATCACACAAGAAGTGGACCCTCGGCAACTGCTAGATGATATTATCAACCTATCATCTCCACTATTCCAAGCGACTAGACGGCGTTGCTGGGCCTAGAAGAGATTCGGCAATGTCGAGAGTTTCGAATCAAAAAATAGCGGGATGCTTGAAATTGTTAGATATCAATCAAACTTTGAATGCGCGCATGTGGCGTGATTAATCTACGAAGTCTTCTTCTGATAAGTAATCCGACTGTCTCTTTCTTCACAATATAATTGCTCAATCGGGTGTTTTGCGATTGTTCTCCGTGTTACGTGCTTTGGTGGTCGGCACCATCTTCAACCAGTCAGCCCGGCAGCCTTTGTTCAGATATCGGTGCTCCTGACAGCGGGTAGACCCGCACTCACCTTCTTCCGAGTCGGCGTAGTCATTATCTTCACAAAACTTAAATTGGCTTCCGAGGTTGTGATCCTGGCCAGAGGCGGAAAGAGCAAGCCCGGCAATCCAAGAAGAAGCCCCTCGAAACTCAGCAGAAGCCCGCCAAAAAGTCGAACTCATCTTCAAAATCGACTGTCAAGTCAAAGGAGACCGGTCGCGATGGTGACGGAGATGGTGACGATGACGGGAGGAAGAAGCCTAATACCTATGCCAGAGATGTGTTTCCCAGTCAACAAAGCAAAAGCGGCGGCGAGGATTCTGCAGAGGACGATGACGACGACGACGACGACGATGACATCGGTGCGGAAGGTGAACCGGGGGCAACACGACTCCGTGGCTATCAGGCTTCAAGCTCGTAATCTGGCAACATGGCCGGAATGATCATGACAAGAATGCCAAATAGCTAGAAGAGCCAAGTGAAAGAAGGGGTGGGAGTTACTCAACTACTTCGCCATCCGCGGCATGTTGAGCCGGGGGTTGATGCCGCCCATGCTGTCCATCTTGGCGGAGATGTGACCAGAGAACTGCACCGCACGCTGCAGGACGATGGAGCTGCGACAGTAGAACTTGGTCTGTAGTATCCATTGGCTTTTAGGTGGTGACAAATGTGGGATCCACAAGAGCGTCGCACTGCTTGGACTTCCTTGTCTCATAGACAGACACTTTGCAGAAGTTTTCCTGGGTCGCATTCTCGGTGACGAGGACGATGTCACGTACAATCTGCATAGCGATCTCGTCGCCGCTGCAGGAAAGAAAGCTGAACATCCGACGACGAATCAGGAGCGCCCTGTCTGGGAGACCGGCACAATTGGCGCATTAACTGGGACCAAGAAGGCACAAAGGTTTTGGGTTCGGCCGTCGGACTTCGTGTTCGATGACAATTCTTATGTTAGCTTCCCGGTGGAGATTGAAATATACTCGATCGACTCGGACTCCCTCTTCCGCAGGCCCCTGAACAAGCTAGAAAAAGGCCGTGACGCCGATCCGAAGAAGTCCATCAAGGAGGTGAAGGCCGACGCAGTTCCCTTGAGGAACCACATTCCAGGCTTCGAACAGTCAAAGTATGACAGATAGGAAACTCTGAATGTGCTGGTTTAATCCAACGGCGACGTCTGGTTATGAATCCCACAGTTGCTCATCGGGCGCTCTAACTATAGTGGCGACTGGACTCCGTCTCGCGAGTATCCTCGCGTTAGCCAGGGTTGCGTTTGGATTTAGCAGAGTAAGTCCTCGAAGGCCCTGCCGAGAGCAACGTAGATAAGGCACACTCCGTTTCTGACGCGAAGAGCAAGGCACTTCATGTTGACAAGGTCAAGATCCTAACGCGCCTAGTCGATGATTTGGTCAATAAGGGGCTTTTTCTTATGTATCATGAGACACCAACCCTTCGCTGCAAGGGGTGGGAGGGGGAGGCAAAGTTTAAGGCAGTGCCAACACTGTTTCGCGATGTTAAAACAATGGTCACACGTCGGAATTGATCGACGCGAGATCGATGTCCAAGGGCCAGCACGTGATGTCAGTCGCATTGAAGACGAAGTCAGACCCACTGAGCCAGTAGCGATCTGCCTTCTTAAACTTCGAGAGGGAGCCGTCAATAGTGAGTGAGGTATGCCGTAGACACCTTGGCTGGCGTTTGCTCTGGTCGTAGTCGAGGGTCGGAACTGGGCGAAAACATGTCGATTTCCACCGGGAATGTGACAGTGGCCATAGTTCGCTTGACATGATGGTCGTTGTGGCCACTGTATCTGAGGTTTCCCGGTCAATACCAAGGAGGCAGCATTTTCACTGCTGAACGTGCCCGGGTACCATAGTCGGAGTGTTTGTGTCCGGAAAAGACAGCCTGGTCATATCTTTGAGCGACAACATCGAGGACGTCTCTTTTATAATGACCTTCCAACTCGGACGAGGGTATTGTGTGTTCTCTCGTCTCCAATTCCGAGGACCTTGGGCCAGCGTCAAGCTCTTCCTCTGCCTTGGTGTAGTACCCTACACTATATCTTCAGAAAAGCAACTTGGCTGACTCATTGTCGCTCGGCTCTTCGTCGTCGGATGCGATCTTTTCTATACCTGGCATTGTACTTGCGATATCATGTCGATGTGTCAACCGTAATCGAGCTGTAGTGTCACAGGCCCACGACCTCCGACGCTCATTTCTATTATTCGGCGGTTAACTTGTAGTTCAGACTTTGTCGATACCACACGTTATCGACCAGGGCTCAAGGTACAATGCCGAAGACAGAAACGAATGCCAGAGGTTGTAAGGCTTGTGTGGTGTGACGTTGGTGAATTTGGTGAGGTCGGCGAGGAACTGACGCAGATGAGATGAGACGATGAGTTGGGGAGCTGTGAGGCATACGAGGGCGGAGAGAGTTTTGCGAGGTTCAAGATTTGTGAGAATCCAGTAACTTGTGATGTTGTCAGCCTTGATTCCAACGCACAAGATTTTCCCACAAGCAATCGAAAATGGTTTCTGGAATTTGATGCATACTATGTACGCTCTCACAAGTTGACTCCACTCCTTCAAGTGCTGTCTGCTCTCTTGGAGGACGACATTGCGGTGACTAATCGTTGAGCAAACATGTCTGATGAGTAATATTGCACCAACCGACCTCTGGATAAATCATCAGGTGCCGTTGTGTTTTGAATACTTGGCCCCCAATGAACAAGGTCGTGGAGATATCAAGGGGTTTATGCACAACTTTTCATGTTAAGCAAGTAGCACTGACTATGATCGAACCTCAAACACACACAATTACAGAGCGACTCTTGTCCGAAACAAGCAGGTCGCGGATGAGAGCATTGTTACCTTGGTATGTTCGGCGGCCAGCCACATGTGTGTCCATTCACATGTCACGGCCAGCAATTGCGTGTTGTCAGAGAGCGCGAGAACCAACAGGAATCACATGTTGCGGCGAGTCACATTGCCTGTGGAAGGGCCTCGGGAACGATGGAGACGATGCACATCACATTGGCTACGCGCGACAAACACCCTTTACGTCGCCGTATCACAAAGATGTGTATTGCGGAATGGCGTGTCACCAAAGACCTCGGGAGTTGTGGAACAGTAGACATCACAATCGACTTGCGACGGTGCAGCGCCAGGAACGAATGTACCAGGTAGATAGGGTGGAATTTGCCCGTGCGTGGTGGGCGGCCCGGGCTTCGCCCGCTACGCTTCCTTTTGAGCACGCGGGAGTGCCGTTTCGGAAGACGAAGCCTGAACTCGTCGGCGTTGCTCGTCGGCATTGTGTACCATGTGGATGCGAAGAACTGTATCTCGCGGAGGCAATATTTATTGCTCGCGACAGTATTGTATAGCGATCATGCTGAGGAACGATCGATGAAACTTGCGTAGGGTCACCGAGAATAAACTGTTTTTTGATGGCCTTGATAGGCAATGTTCATTGCATTAATCATTCCGACCACAAAGATCGTCTACTTAGTCATTGAAAGTTTAACTGAAAGCCATAATCCTCCTTCACAATGTCCATCGTCGTGATGCGCCATGCGCGTGATGGTACAGTTCGTGCCTCCGGCCAGGGAGCAATTTCATCATCTCATTCTCATCGTGTGATCGACAGCCGGTGTCGATCAGCATGATGGCAGCTCCTGTGTCGAGAGCGAATCCTCACCAAGTGAAGACATCTAGTAGTAGCTCTTGGTGGGCTTGGGAGCCGGGTACTCAGGCTTGGGGTGGTGCAGGGCAAACTCACGACGGGCTTAACGCCTTCTTAGGGTATGCCTAGATAAGTCGTTCATACTTAGTACCTAGATAGTCTTCTAGTCATATCATTATAGAGGCCTCTTTTGCTTGTTACGGCGCCTCTTGTTGCGCCCAATATGCTCAGTGCATCTTCGTGACGAGGTTACACAGTCGGGAATAAGTTCGACCGTCCGCCCGCCCGTCCCGTCCGTGGTCAGAGCACCACCACAATATTACGACATTTTCAAACGACGCGAGTCTTGTTGATGATCCTGCTCTCTAGACACGACAAGAGACGAGAAGTTTTCACCAATCTCAAGCTATTTCGACACATTCGCAAGCAGATATTGTGCGTTCTGGATTCTCAGTAAAGACTTGTCTTGCTGTCGAAGAAAGGCGCATTTATTCTTTGGTTCACTGTCATCACGCTTTTGTTGTTCTGGTTCTTGGGGCTTGGACTTGTCCTGCCTCTTTTGATCACAGCACACTTCTCTTTGTTCTAGTTCTGTTGGGGTTCTGGACTTGTCCTGCCTCTTTCAAAATCATCAAACACTCTCTGTCCTGTTTCTGGAGTTTGGTGTTGTCCTGCTTCTGTTCAAGACTTGCGCACAAATTCACGTCAAGTTGATTTCGTCACACAAAGCTCGATACCTGAGCTCATTCATCGCTCGATAACACCTCGCCAGACCCTTACATCATTTTCACAATGGCGACTCAAATGAAATCCGATGAGATGCTCAGCGATACTCTCCGCATCCCGCGCGATTACGCTCTGCAGTCGCGCTTCAAGAATCCCAACCGTAGCTCTCCAAGAAGTGTCTACTCTTTGCAGAGTTACAATCTGCCACTCTCTCCACAGTTGGCTTGCAATGGGCATACTCTCAAGACGCATCCCGACTTCACAATGGAATTCTGGGCAAATACAGAAGTACAATGCCCACGATTCGAAATTCGGCTTTTCCTCGAGCCGAAACCTCTGCAAGGTCAACTCAAGAAGACCAAAGGTGTGTTTGTATCGTTCTTGGCATACGATGAAGTCGAGTCCTCGGAGAACCTCCCGGAGCGGACGCCATATAAGTGGCGAGGGGGATTGGACCAAGAACCGCCAAGAGGTCCTATGAGCTTTTCTCGACAGCTCAAAAATGTTCGGTTTCGCACGATCGAAGATGCCCAAGGTGAAGCTGGGTTTGAGCTCCCGCGTGTAAATGAAACCAAATACACCGACGAGCAACATCGGGTTTTCTCCTGGCAAAGCGAGCATTTTATCAAGCTGCGCCACACAGTTGATACGTCGAACATGTCTCCCGCATGCATTTATGCGCTGGAGACCCTCAAATCAATCGAAGCCAGTATAGAAGCTGGCTCGACCATATATGTCACCTTTGCACTCCGTCATTCCACAGCTTCTGATCGCTTCCTGGATCAATTCTGGCCACGATTTGCCGCGATGCCTTCCCCGCCACCGCCAGACTACTGGGCATTTCTGCGTTCCTCCGCGGAGGTCAAAAAGGACGACAGCTCTTTGTTAGTGTCGCACTTTGAAGTCGATCGCAATTACATCGATTGTGCCTTGTCCGATCGGGTTGATCCAGCGTCGGGTGGTGAAGCAAAGTTCTGGACTCCGGAAAAGAATTTTGATGCAGCGAAGATTCCGTCTCCCATTTCTTTCTGTCCTTTGCCACGTTGCGACGCTTTCCTCACCGAGCGGCAGTATCTCTTCTACGTTCTGGGAAACTTTGAGTATGAAAGATACCATAGTGACGCCCAGTCAGAAACGGCATTCAATGGATCATACTCCTGTCGCTTCGAACCTGCCGGCGACGACTTTGCTACGTAGTATGTAGCACTGAATATCACCGCCAGCACGATCATCAGACCCGATAAGGAGCAAGCGGCGATCGAGTCTGAATTGCCTCCGGTTGGAACGCCAGTCACCGTGAGTTGCCAACTCGATCCAGGCAGACCTCACGAATTCTGGAACGGGTCAGTCATTGCTATGCCACAAAAAGGCTACACTGGCTTCAACGTGCTCCTACAGGCCACCCGGCCTCCTCACAGTGGTGGCACGGTACAATCCTTGAAAGAGGATGTCACTGCAGACTTGACATTTGGCTACGTAAAGCCGGTCTCTATATGGACCTCGGGCGCCATTACTGATCTTATCGAGGGCAATGTCAAAGTTCCGAAGTCTTCTTCTCCTTGCAAATTCACGCCTTCGTTTTTCAAAGAGCTCGTCCTCGCTCAAGATCCGCGAGCGCTAGACAATGAGAGCGAAGAGGGTCTGCCATTAGATTGGCGTCGGACTGTCGAGCATCTGTGTGACGAGCGAAACGCCAACCAGTGGCAACGTGAAGCAATCTTTCATTTCTTTACGCGTAAATTCACACTCGTTGCAGGTCCTCCTGGCACCGGCAAAAGTACGCTGGTTGACATGATTATGATCCTGTTAGAGAAGTTCGACAACAAGTTCTGGTGCTGTACTGACAGCAACGCTGCAGTAGACGTCCTGGCAGAAAAGCTTGTAAAACGCAAGGGACGTCAAGCAGAAGGATTCTTCCGACTGCGACCGACATTCAGAGAGACCTTTACGCCGCCACTCATGTTGGCGCAGAATCCAGGAATGAGCCAAGAGACGGCAGACAAGATGCTGAACGTGGAGCTCGATTTGCCTCTGTCGCTTGAGGTTAAGATTCGTCGGCGTTGGGATGCTTACGAGGACAAGAAGTTGGGCAAGCCCGAGTTCAAAGCCGAAAGAGAATTGTTGGAGCAGTTAGTTGACGCTGCTGGGAGACTGACAAATCCTCCCACCGAAGAAGGCGATGATGAAGCAATCGAGGAGGCACATCGGAAGGCAGAGGAAGATTTCGGTGGTACCCTGCAGAAGCTGCAAAAGGGATACATCAAAAAGGCGAAAGGAATCTTCAGTACTACTGGCGGTGCCTCAGGGCCTCTTCTACGAAACTCCTTCCGTCCTGACGCGATTATCATGGATGAAAACTCCCAGGCTATGGAAGCTGGTTGTGTTCTGCCTATCGTCAAAGGAATGGCAGCTGGACGGCTCAAGCGCGTGTTGATCATTGGCGATCCCCAGCAGCTGCCTCCGACGAGACTCAGCCGTCGTAATCACGCAGCAAGCAACGGCGAGGTCTCGATGATGGAACGTCTAGAGGCCGCAGGCTTCCCCGTCGTGCGTCTGAGAGTGCAGTACAGGATGCATCCTGATATTAGTAGCTGCATCATCAAAGAGATGTACAACACAATGATCGACGGCGAGAACACGGTAGCAGGCAGGCCTGCCGATGAACAATTCAGGAATTTCTTGACGATGTTGTGGACTCGAACAGTAGCGAAGAAGCGAAACGCTAACAAGTTCAATCCCCATCAAAACGCTATCATCATCAGCCCGTCGACGATCAAAGGCGCCAAATTCGGCAGCGAGATTCTCCCTGGCAGCACATCAAGGCATAATGTTCAGACAGCCATGATGGTCTTCCAATTGTGTAGCTGGTTGATTAAACATGGCAAATTCAAGCCAAATGAGATCATGGTCACCAGCTTTTACAAAGACCAGGTGCAATTGCTTATTGGTCTGCTCGCCGATCTGGGCGGAATCGGATGTTTTACCGTCGACGGCTCTCAAGGCAAGGAGGCCCCGATTCACATTATTGACTGCGTCATACTCGGCCAAGCAGCAGCTGAGTCGATGGGCTTCCTGTCTTCGGACAATCGTCGTTGGAATGTCGGTGTCTCTCGTGCTCAGAGCGGGCGTATCTTGATTTGCAGCGAGGACTTCGTCGTTGGCAACAGGAAGACTGGCGTTTGGGCATCAACCATCATGGAGGCCAAGGCGAAAGCGGCCATTCTAGACGATGCCATGTTCCACACTAGCATGGACACCGTCGATAAGACGCATTTTTGGGACGTCGTGAACAAGTTCAAGGCAAGTGCAGGGAAAGGCAAGAAGACTGGAGCGCCTCGACCCAAGCTTCCAGAAGCTCAGGTCAACAAGATCCGCATCAGCCATGCACACACCATGATCAACACATTGCCTGGCTGTTCGCAAGACGAGGCTGCAAGGTACCTCGCGGCATGCGACGACAATCTCAGTGTCGCAATCAATACCTGGTGTGGAGATAATCCTCTCGCATTCGAAGATGATGATGTCGAAGAGATTGAGCGCGAGTCTGGAAACGATAAACCACCTCCTCAGCAGCCCTCGGCAACGAGTCGCTCCGCTCTTGCGCCAAGTCCGACCTCGCATGCCCCCGCCGCCGCCTCGCCCATCACGTCCTCGTCGTCGCTCGTCGCGTCGGTCCCGAAGTCCGCTCCTTCGGTCTCGGTCTCGGTCATGCCTCTACCTCCACATCTGAGGCAAGTCGCCACGGGACCTGCGCCGATCACGAAACCGGTGCCGGTGCCCATCTCGCCGCCTGGTGCCGTCGCGGCCCCCCCTCTCCCGCCGCATTTGAGGAAGCGGTCTCTCGCTCTCCTCCCGCCGTCTGTGCCTACTGTCGCAGCATCTGCTCCTCCATTTCCTGCCCGCGCTTCAGCGATGCCTCCACCAGTTTCGATCGGTGATCCGATGGCAGTTTCTCGGCAAAGATTGCGCCGTCTGCTGGAAGAGATTGAAGAGGAGCATGGTTTCGTGGCCACCCGGAAGATGGTGAATGAGGAATGTCAGAAGCGGTACCCGTAGTTGGCAGGGCGGCTCTCGATTGCTCTCTATCCTTCGCGTTGAGTTGCTCTGTGTTCTGTCTCGTGCTTTTCCTTCGTTCTCTTTTGACTGGCGCTCTTGAATATCTCAACTTCGGTTGAACTCGTGCGCTTGGGTATTCTCTTGTACGTAGACCAGATGATCATCTGTTGACATCTTCATCAAGAGGTTCGTTGGCAATTACCGGAATGCCAATCCCTGTTGCGATTGTTCTGGATTTGGGCACTCTCTTGGCTGCGGGCTTTTTGTCTTTCGGATTAAATTTCTGATGATTGATTCATTTGTCTTTCAAATTAAATACGTTCCTCAGCCTCTTCAGATTGTGAAGTGTAAATTTGATGTTCTGTGAGTCTGCAGAAAGTTGACTTGGTTCGGCTTGTTGTGTAATAACGAAAGCTGTTAGACGGTCATCGCATGTCATTTGTTTTCGGGAATGAGCATCCTCCCATCCGCCGAAGTGATTTTGTGATTCGAAACGATAGCCTGTGACTGCGCTATGTATTTAATCTCTACATGGGCAATGAACTATATACACTTTAGCTTCATTCCAAGAGGACCGAAGGTACTGTCCGTATATCAGTCCTGCAACATTCTTGCACATAGAGCATGGAAATATCAATGACATTCCAATTTCAGGCCACTCGCAGCCCAACTTGAAGTCACCGCAATTTGTCAAAATACGGGAACAAGAGGGAGCGTCCCAAACATGTAGCACATCAAATTCCGCCAGACAGCGAATATCCACCGAATGGCTGAGCCTTGTGAAGCGATGGAGATGCTCATCTTCTCCTCGAGCAGCAAGTTACCATTCGCAGGTGCATTTTCCCAGGTCAGGTGTCTTGGACGTTTGTTTTGCTTGAGAACCTTTCTGACGTGTTTAGGATCCGCGCGAGATGTGGATATAATCACACGAGGCGGGAGAGTGTCACAACCAGAAGAGTGTGTATGAAGATGTTCTCAGAATGGATATATTGCTTTTACTAATTGCTTATATATCGGGTATGTTGTGGGCTTCTTCATGTGGCCTGTGAAGAGAATGGCAGCGGCGACAGTCGCGACAGTTCCATGTGCGATGTGTACATAAGAATGACAGCGGCACTCTGTTCGACCAACAGTAGAGGGGTCCTCGCTCTGAATCACATTTCTTCTGCTCCGTCCCGCTTGTTCAAGATCGTTTGGAGCCAGCTTACAAAAACATCTCTTTGCTACGGTTGGAATGGGTGTAGGTATTCCTCCAAGCTCTTGCAAAGGCCGCCGCCGTCGCTGAATCCCAGCACTGCCTTGACGTTCACTCCACTTTGCCTGACAGCACCAGCTTCCCGATCTTACGGCAGGGAAGAAGATGGGTGCCATTGGCCGTTCATCCTGCATGTCCGACGACTGATCCTGGTGATTGAAAAGGACGCGGGTCCTTGCTGACATTGTCACCAATCGGTAACGATTAGCCCGAAGATAAACCCCAATGAGTTCTGTCCATTCATCATCGTGGCCGATCGTACGGCACGTAATTGATATTGAATACGACGTTGATCGATCTGCCGTCGATGACCATCAGTGCGTTAGTAGATCCGGGCAGGAGGGCGCTCATATTCGTGTCGCTTGCTCCCTTATTGAGGTGCACCGAAGCCGTACTAGTATTTTGCGAGCGACTGTAGTGCGCTGGACGCGGACAAGATGGATATTGCGCTGGTGATACAAGTTGCGGCAAATGGTGGGTAGTGAGAATCTTTTTCGTTCCACAGACACGCTGACCAGAGGACCTCTGTATTCCTCCCTGATAACAAACTCCTGCGAGTTCTGACGTCATTGCTGTGAGACGCCAAGGTCCTGCATCGGTTTAATTATCGAAGTGCGCTTTACTGGCGATCCTCGCGGACGAGATATCGAGTATTGGCAGCGGCTGCGCTCTTACTAGCACGACCTGTCGATGCTGTCACCCAATCTTGGACACCCCGAGTTGTATATCCGCGAGTGGAATAGTCTCCATAGCCTCGTACCCGTGTGCGATCATAGATAGAAGACTGAACATCGTGGCAGATTTGGTGCGAAATTGAGAGCCAATGTAGCCATACCCAATTCCGGGGACGCGATACACAAATGTACTAACTTCGCGCTGCCACGTGGCTGCCCGTCACGTCTGTTCTCTCGCAATAGAACGGTTGCCCAGGTGCTTTTGTTGTTTTTCATCGCTGTCCCAAACAATATGGCATTCGGGCGTTGTCTCAATGTCTCGCGCCATGTCTGTCAGGGTGATTTAAAGAGCGTCCCGACGTCAGATCCCCGCATGTTCGCGCGACAGTCACTCGCGATGACTGGAGTTGCTGAACGTGCCACTACGCAGAGGACCACAGGGCATGATCATCGACTACCTAGGTATACGATCTCAGCGTTCAGTGACTGGAGAGCTCAATACAGCAAGACTTTGAGTGGAATTGACGTTCCAATGAAGTCCGCAGCCAACGTGTCTGTACGCTGTGCGAAGCAGAACTTGCACATTACTGTCCCAATTGGCACGCACTTCCGACAGGCGCACTTGATTGATCGCATTGTGCCTTCTTGATCCTGCTTGCAACGACGGGGGTTTTCTCTCCAGCTCAAAGCGTGCAAAAATTAGCTCTGGGCATAACGTCACGTCGCGTGTACAGTTTCTATGCCCGAAGTTGAGCAACCTTCGAATACTTCAGAGATCGACAAATTCGTTCACCACACATCGAACGCTAAATGAAACACTCCTACCCATGCCTTCATCAAATACTGGTCAGGTACCATTCGAGATCCCAAGTACACCATCGAATAATAACAGTCCCAACGCACCTGCAGCGTGCCTGAGCAGATGACAGCTCATGGCTGTTCACGCCAATCCCCATGCGGCCGACTTCCTGCATCTCGACAAGAACCGGAAGGCACGATTTCATATGAGATCATGCAGGTATCATTACGCACTGCTATGCACACCTCAAAATTTTACAGATTGCAGAACAAAGCTTCAGAACTGGTGTTCGGTACTGGTATTTTTACTGGAAATAGCAAATCAACGATATCTCAGGGCGCATTGCTCCTCGTCGGCGCTAATTTGTGACGCTCAGTAGATGCAATATCGTGATCTTTGGTGACCTGATCAGCGCTGCGTCTATATCCGGTGATGTTGACGACGTGCCTGCCAACTCTCGGACATTCATGATGAAACACAAGCGCCCCATCCTATTCCGCAGGCCTGCCACCCAAGCAATACACCGTCATAGCAGTCGGATCTTGAGGTAGGCACCCCAAGTTTGCTACTGTGCCAGGTATCTGACTTCGATTCCTGCTCCTCTCTCCCTCTCCCCCTTCTCTCCCCTTACGTTTCTTGAGATTACTGGCAATCTGTCTGAGGTTTACGTTTCGCTGCTCGCTGCATCACGTCGATTCATTGAAGGTTATCGTTTCAAAAGGTCTTGAAGAAGTTTTCGGAAGGTCTTGGTGCTGTGGGCGTACATCTCGGTGTCGTCCTTTGCTTTTTCCTCCTTTCTCCTCTTCTCCTCGGCGTACATCTCGGTGTCGTCGTTTTCCTTTCCTTCTCTTTGGGCATACATCTCGGTGTTGTCCTTTTTGACAGTTCTCGTTGGGCATACATCTCGGTGTTGTCCATTTCCAACAGAGTTCTCTCCTTTCGATCTCGATCTAGCACGCAGTACAGACTGCTTCAAGATGGCTCCTCTTCCGTCATATAAAAAGCCAGTTCCCAAAAACGTCTCCCGCCTACCTTCGCATCAAGCCGGGCCTTCCTCAAAGCCAGAGGAAGAGACATTTAATACCACGGGGCCGAAATCTCGCGTCGACCACAGTTATATCAATACAGCTGGCGATCCAAACAAGAAGTTTAAGCGACCGAGTTTTACAACGAGTGGCAGATCATCAGAGCCCACTCGATCGACAAACATAGCTGGACCTTCGTCGATCGGTCATGAGGGATCGAGGTCCTCGTTAAAAACCTCTGCCCGCGACCTCCGGACTTCTGTCCCTTTTCCGCTGCTCGCTGCAGCTTCATCTGACTCGCACGGCAGGCCGTCAATATCAACGTCGCAGGACACGGCCTCCCTCGCGGATGAAGACTTTTTGGCTGTCGCTGAGCGAATCGATCCGGTTTGCCCTGTGGCAATCGATCCCGTCTCCCATTTGGAAGAGGACGATTGTGAATCTCCTTTGTCGTCGGTCGATCCATCCATCTAGGACCAGGTGAAAAACACCCTCGACACCACCCTCGACCTTGCCGCTATCAATCACGCGGCGTCTCCCTCAAGGTCAGACTCTCCCAAGCTGAGCGTTCCTCGTCCGTTCAGCCCGTCAATCAATAGCGATGAGGATAATATTACCGTGGCCATACCAAAGTCGGCACAATCACCACCACCACAACCACAATCACCATCACCACGTACTCCTGACGTGGTCATCCCAGAGCCGGTTCGTTCATTGGCCAAGTCAATAAAATCTCCTCGTTGGGCATCCCGATCGTCTAGGTCGACATGTCTTGTACCTCCGGTCAAGATTGCAGCTGAACCCACAATTCGGCGGATGACAAGGTCATTGGCAAGGAGTTTGCCAGTCGAAGTGTTACCCGCGCCGAACACGTCTGGAAAGGGCCAAGAGACCAATCTGGACTACGTCACTCCCGCCAAAAAACAGAGGATCACTCGCTCGGCCTCAAAAGCGGTGCTCACTGTAAACTGCACCAGGAGTGAGGACGATTTCACCGACGACACGAGGAGTGAGATCAACGGTGAGGATGATGATGATGTTTATTGGGAGGACGACGACACCGGTCCCCACGACAACGACGATGACGATGACGAAGATGTTGATGACAATGCCAACAAACCTCCGGCTGAAGACGACTCGGACGAGGGTTCAGAATTCGATCCGGTCTCGGACGACGACTCCGATGATGAGCTCGGCTTGGACTGCGATGACGATGAAGATCTTGCCGCTATTGATGTCGCGAACTCCAGATCGTCAGTGCCGAAGGCTGGTTCATCAGAGGCTGGTCCATCGGGTCGACAAACTCGTTCTGCTCGTCAAGTTTCCACTCCGATCGAGGGGACTGCACTGGAATTCCTCCATACGAAGTTGACGAATGAAGAATGGCGACAAAAGTACGCCAGCTGGCTACAACCGCGGGCTGGGCGCATCATAAAGGCCAAATACAACAAGTTTGACCCAGCGTCATTCAAGTCAATCGATGTCTCGGCCCATATCGACAACATCGATACACATGATTCGAGTTCCGGTGTGTTTGAGGGCAGAATGCGCCATATTTTGACCAGATACAAAGCCTCTGCCGAAGACAAGATCGCCAACAAATCTTCGCTTATCGACATGACTAGAGCCCGCTCTATCAAGCGAGTGGATTCTGAATCGGAAATTCGCTTTGTGTTATCAAACATGCATCCAGATACGAAGCTTGTTCTCGATCAGCCGAGGTCTACTTTTGGCCTCCAACAATTGTTACGTATGGCCCCGGTGTCAAAGAGCGACCTTACCAAATGGGTCGTTTACATCGTGATTTACGAATTGCCCGACGGCACCGTTTGGCTTTACATCGGCAGCAGTACAAGCCGCGAGGGTTCCTGGTATCGGCTCTACAAAACTTACGAAACAGCCGTGCGATATCTTGACAAAGGAGTGTTTCACTCCTACTCGCGGCTCAGCGGAGCAGCTCAACATATGGTCTTCGCTCCGAAGGGAACCAAGATGCACGTTCGTGTTTTGTGTTCGTTTGATATTCCCAACGATCCAGCCGAATATATTAGAGTGAAAAAGATCGTTCTACGAACGGAGGCAATGTTCATGGACGACTTCCAAGCTTTCCCGGAAGCTGCACCCGGTGAAACGATCACGATCGGTGAACAGAAGATCTCTAGGATCGATATCAACACGTTCTCTCGTTCCGTCGCCCCTCCTGGAGAATCGCACAGCTGCCGTGGTGTCAATCGCATGCACCCATTTGCGATGTCGTTCCAATCGCGCAGATCCGTAAGGTCTCGTGCGGATCGTGTAAAGGCTGCGCTCGCCAAGCAGGGTGGCATATGCCGACTGGACGCACGCTCAATCGGACCCCATACGCACATCTTCATCAATCGCCTCGAGCACAACGTTCCGGACTACGATGATAATTACGTGTGCGCATCATGCCACATATGGCGTCGGGACATGGACGACGATACCCGTGCAGAAGTCAAGAAATGCAAAACGATCGAAGAGCTCGTCGATATCCGAACCATGACGACCAGGTATATGGACATCGACGCTGTCTATAAACATTCAACACACTGTGCGATATGCGAGAGGCCTTTCGAGTCCAGGCCAGCCAATGCGAAACACCGCATAACCAATAACATGGGCTTAGGCTTAGGCAAGGGCAAGGGCAAGGGCAAGGGCAAGACCGAGGGGAGGAACGCCGCAAAGAATCACCCGAGATGGCGTACGAAGATCAGGCCAACCGCGCGCCGGTCTGTGCATTGTCCTCGCAATATCGCTATTTGCTGCACCGAGGACTCCCGCAGTATCGAGTCCTTGTTGACAATGGAACGCCGTAAGAAGACTACCGTGCTCAGTTCGTCGACTTGCGATCTGGTAATGCTCCGAAAGCTGATCACTGGAACGCGCGGTCATATGGGAAAATTCAAGCCGAAAGTATTGATCACAATAGGCGAGCGATGTGGGGTTTGCCGATGCATTCTTCGGCAAATGGCAGAAGGCGAAAGGATCCGGACCTGCGAAAGCTCGCATGACGCAAATCTCCTGGCCGGCGGCATCGAAGTTTCTCAGAATCTTAAGGCAAAACTGGATTGTCTCGCAAACGTCTCTTGGCATGTCTGTATCCGCTGCGCCAAAGGGATGAAAATTCGCACGCAGACGCCGAGAGCTGGAACGGTCACATGGACAAGGAACATTTCGTTGTTGGAAATTCGAGAGGTACTCAGCACTTCCAGAGCAGGATATAAGATGATTGGCCCAGGGAAGAGAAAATGATCTGCAGCGATGGTACAATCACCATATCTGTCCAATGTATTTCGCATCTCATGTACTCAGCTAGATTTGTTGGATACCCATATTGATTATCGCGCAAATGTTCGCGAGCCGTCTTTGCTTCAAAGTTGTGAGAGGAGCGTTTTGTGATCGATGGGCACGCGCAAACAGGCCCGGATACTGATGAAAGAGTCGTCATCTCTAGACGAAGATGCTTACCTTCGTGGAAATTGCCACCAACAGCCACACGTGAAAATACAACGACCCTATCACGTTTTAGTGTAGCGTGCGATGTGTGAAGTGTGCTGCAGTCAGCACCATCCTTGTCGCGCGCCACGATGCGCTCTCGCCCCTGTGTACAGTACTGTACTGTAGGTTCTCTATCAGCGCTCAACGGATATGCGAAAGACTGCGCGTGGTAAGTAAGCCGGATCTCGTTCGTCTATCATCACCTGCTGTAGTTTGTAAACCTTCATTTTCGGTCCTGCAATTATCCCGTCTACGGCATACCCTCTGCGCCGCCGCGCCGCAGTCTTGCGCGCTTTGCGATAAACATCATGTGGTCGACTTCTCTAATCCTCTCAGCATCGTTATTGTTCGCGGCCACAAATGCGCAATGCTTCTACCCCGATGGCTCGCCGTACCAAGGAGGTGTGATATGCGACATAACTCAGAGTGACGGTCAATCATCCTGCTGCGGCATCGAAGACGAGTGCACCACCAATGGCTTTTGCAAATGGCAGGGCTTCCGAGCCAACAACATACTCTCGGTGGTAGGATGTACCGACCGAGACTGGCGATCACCGCACTGCGCGCAATTTTGCACAAAGAACTGTGAGTCAATTCCGATCATTCTGTTGATGTGCGGTGCCTACGCTTTCGGGGACTGACAGGCGGCGTTCGATCTCATCAGCTGGCCAAAAGAATTCCGGAAATCAATTCGTCTTCGCCTGTTCCCAAACAACCTATTGCTGCTCGCAATACCCCGGCGTGCTCCCTGGTGGTTATTCCGACCGGCCCTCGAATTACTCATGCTGCAACGACCCGAGTCTGGTATTCGACGCCGGGCCAGCTAATTATCTAGCCTTGCGCCACGATTTCACGACCTCTACATTCACAGCCACAGCAACCGGCCTCTCGACCAGTACCGCTTCATCTGGAGGTAGTATCACGAGCGCGCCGACAGGGGCTTCAGCCGCTTCCAGCGGATCGAACACGGCGACAACCTCGGCCAGCTCATCTTCCGAGCTGTCCGCAGGCGCCAAAGCGGGCATTGGCATCGGCGCCGCGCTCGTCGGCGTCATCGCCATTGCGCTGGCCGCGTGGCTGACGCTCAGTCATCGACGGCAGAAGTCTACGCCGCTGCTGGCACAGGAGGAGCAGAAGGCGTCGGTCCCGGACGAGAAACCAGCATGGCAAGGACAGAATTCCAATGTGACGGGATTGGGGTACAGCCACGAGATGGGACACGGTTCGGGGATGCATGAGATGGGACTTGACTCGGGCGTGGTTCGGAGTGAGCTGAGTGAGACCGGGAGGAGAGAATTACCTTGATGAAAACGGACATGGGAAAAGAGATGCGTGCATGGACGTATCTCGTAACATGCAAAGGAGGCGCGGCGATCGAGCGACAATGAGATGAGGATCACTTGACGATGGACTCAGATGTTGAGACGAAATGCTGTAATCTTTGGCTGTACATGTCCATGTTCTAGCAATATTTTGTGAACAAGTACTCTCAAGCGCGCGCTCTTCGAAATTTTGACTCTCACTACAGGAAGCAAAAGGGCCAACGTAGACAGTTTTCCCACAACACATACCCATTCACACCCCGACACAGCCCGGTGGTCTTCGAAGATGGGACAGAGCCCACTCCACCGTGCGAAAGACAGAACGAGTTTATGTTTCAACATGCCTATATAGCGCGCAATTCCCGCCGCCTAGCGTGCTTCGGGATACTCTCTACTCGCTCCTTCTTCTTCTTCTTCTTCTTGTTCTTCTTCTTCTTATTCTGCGCGTGGTTCGTCGAGCGAAGGTGATAGCGATCAGGCTCCCATCAAAATCTTCCGCGACGTCCTTGTGACCTAGCTCGAAGCTGCGCTCCATCTTCACCTGCTCCCGAAGCTGATGCGAATGCTGACGTTCTCGACTTTGAAAATTGTAAATTTTCTGAACATTCGAGCTGGAAGAAAACACGGTAAAATACTTAGGGAAGCGGCGAGCAGCACATGTCACGGCGCCGGTCGGTGCATATTTTTGAGTGCCGCATTGCTCGTGCCCGCCCTTCAGAACGCTCCCGCGGCGATGACGTGCCCTCGGCGACGACGGCCTGGCCTACTAAAAGGTTGGGTTATTCTTGCTATGGGTGTTTCCATAAATTCGGAATCATTTTGACAGGGAACCTAGTAATAATCATTCTCTGCCCAGGTTCATTCGGGCTAGAGATGACTGAAGGACTTTAGTATGTTTGGCCTCGGGCTGTATCATGTCTACGGAAGAATCCGCGCAAGTGCCTTCCCACGTCGGTCGAAGCCCTCCACCCGGGCTCTTGATCTAGACCCCGACACTTGGTGTTCGACTCTCTGCGGGCATTTCCTCCCTCACCTGGGCACTCAACGGATCGGTCCAAGGGCGCTCTAAAAGGCCTCAAAATATTTAGTAAAGAAGGGGCAAAATGGCCTGCCTTGCGGTGATCATTTGGATCAATGGTGCCCCATCTATGAGCCGAATCTCCAATTGTCGCGCACGACATTCCCCCATATTTACATTGAAGCTGCCAGTGATCATGATCGCCGTGCAGGATGCACAAGCTCCGCCGACATGTCCTTCAACGTGCAGGTGCGAAGTCCCGCCCCAGGAACAACGCAGATGAAGGACGATGAAAGATGCTATATATCTAGGTATGATCTGGAGTGATCTGCACTCGAGACCCAACTTCCCTTTCTACAAGCGCAATGAAGTCTCAAAGTTTTTCTCTTTTCGCTTGGGTGAGCTTTGCCGCTGCAGGGGCAATCCCCTCGCACACTGCACCCGTATACAAGACATCAGTACACAAAACAAACATACCAGTGTCCAAAACCGCGTCTGCGTACAATGCTGCACCCACCGCCTCCTCTGTGCACAAGACCACGTCTGCGAACAAAGGCACGTGGACATACTATTCGACTGCTACAAAGACAATCACCATTCCTACCACCATCACTTTGGGTCCTCCTACCGAAGTTGTCTACGTCACTCTTCAGTCCACCTCTACCGTAACAGTAACGACCCCATTCACCGTCTATGCGACTACTGAGACTTCAACCTCGATCAATCCATTCTACGGAGCAGCCGTTTTTGTGGACCCGACTCTGACTGCACCGATCGTCAGCGTTCCGGTATGTATCCTCATTGACGTTGATGAACGCGAGAGTAATCGATGAAGTATTGACAACGGTTCCGTACAAGACCCCCTCCGGCTATACTCCGATCTTGTCCGAATACGCATATACAGCTAGCCTGAAGGTGAGTACGACTATCTCGACCACACGCACGACGTCGGTTGTCCACAAAGACTCGCCCGTCACGACGACTGCCACTTGGACCATTACCGACAATGAGGGCACAATCACCAAGACTTCCTACCCTTCGACCGTAACCATCCCCGCGACGTTCACCGTGACAACAACCTTATATCCCTCTGCTACAACTACGTCCACACGGCTGGCCCTACCCACTCACCATGCTATATGTGAGGATCCCGGCAATTGTAAGTAGTCCTACTACCCGAGACCAATCCAGCGACCCAAAAATTTGACAGATCATCCTCCTAAGACGTGAACCATTTTCCTTTTGGTCCCACCTTGCAGTACTTCTATTACTACGCCGGTCCCGACGGCAGTTACGATGACGGTACGGTCTATTCGCTCGACCAATCCATTGGCGTCTCTTTTAATATGACCGACACGCTCGACAACAAGGTCGACTGCTGCAACTTTGCCATGTCGCAGGGCCCCGCCGCTTGGGGAATCTTTCTGCCCAAGGGTGAATACCCGACCAGCGGGCCAAGCTGTTTCGCCTTCAACGTCCGCGATGAGAATGCCTGCGATCCGAGCGCCGTCAAGTTTACCCTCGCGTACGCGCCGACGATAGATCTTGCTCCCGGTCAGGCTTATGCTTTGTAAGTTTGTCCTTTCTTTTCTGGCATCATTCTCGGGAGATCAAAGGCTCGAACGAACGAACTGAACTGACTCGCCTTTTGTACCCCCGACGCAGCAATGGGAGGTGTGGACGTGTGACGCCTGATCATCACGGGAAGGCATATCATCTCCATGGTGGCGCGTATACGCCCGAGGACTCGCCATGAACAGAAGACATGAATATCATCATTATGCAAGGAAGCTATTCCACCGTTGTCAAATACACCTCAAAGTTCGCGTGTTTCCTTCTCGCTGGGTTCATTCGGCGCCCGTCGATGCATCAACCACACATCGATTAAACACCCCTTCCGTGTGCTCCCACACACGCTTGCCCAGCGCATCCTCACGATATCGCTTGAGGACCCCTTCTGTCTTGATCACCTCACTCGAAGCATCAAAGCGCCAAGCTCCAGGTTGCGGTATCGTTGCATCGGACGTGAGAAGATACGCCTGTCGATCACCACAATCCTGAACCTCCATACCAAAAAGTCCCATGACCACCGATCCGACGCCGCGGAATGCCGCCAGACCTACTCGCCATCCGAGTCCAGTAGACGAGTCCGTCGGCGGCGTCAAGCGATTGATGATGTCGGTTTTGACAATCCCGGGAAAGGCGTGAAGGAAGGTAATGCCGTGATTGGAATCCTCAGCGGCAAGATGCTCCAGAGCGAGGGCTGTCATTGTTGTTGTGTGCGCTCCCACCCGGAGGACGGACCACGTCTTCTCGAGTCCGGGGTCTTCGGTGTTGATTGTTTCTTCGCGGCCGCCATTCAGGACACTCAGAACGCGCGGGCTCTGTGAATTTCGGAGTAGAGGGAGAAGGGAGGAGACTAGTCGGAGACGACCGTAGTAGGAGATGGCGAAGGATTGTTCGAGTGATTCTTCGGTGTCTGGACGATTGTGCGTGAGCTACTCTGCTTTGGATTCCAGAATTGTCTGATTTCATCTCCCGCGTCCGTAGAACCATAGCGACAGGAAGCAGACTTACATTGGGGACCCTTGAGGAGCGCCGTACCCATATCTACTCCAGGAGACATGTATACAAAATCGACCTTGTTTTCAGCCTTTTTGATCTGCTCACACGCCGTATCGACATCTCTCAGCAATGAGACCTGCGCATTGAGAAAGACAATCTTGTTGGTAGGATTCAATTTCATCAACTCGGCCTTCTGCGAAGCGAAGCGAGCCTCGGATCGACCGAGCACATAAAACGTTGAGTCGTGGAGGTTTTGAACCATGCGTGTCAAGGTTCCGGCACCGATACCACCGGTCGCTCCGCTGAGGACGCCTTGTCATCGTCAATCACTCATGACTTTAGTATTTTGAATGAGCGCGGAGAGACCCTCATCGAATGGACTTACCCACCCACCCACGATGCTGCTCGCTGGCAAAGCGGGCGTTGTATTGGCGAATCGATGCTATGTTGACCATCTTCGCGGTCTGGAAGACTATTCAAAGGGTTCACGATGGTGATTTCGAAACTTCATGTCGCGGGAAAAGAGGATCTACATATATCGCATATGCAGGCTGACGGTCCCCACTTGTATGTATGCGTGCGGCACAGCGCCTCTCATCAGGAACGAATCGATGCTCACATGCTATGTGCAATCCAAATTCCTTAGTCACGTATACCAAGCGCTTGGGTCCAGCATGCTCTATGCTTCTGTACGTAGGTGTCGTACATCCGTGCGTGTCGTAGGTGATGGACAGTGTTGGGAGGCGAAATCTCTGGACGGAATTTAACTGATTGCCTGGATGACGATCGATAGCGGACGGGCGGCACGATGCGTCACCTATCACTTAAATTTCCGGAAATTAATCCTCGGGCGTGCAATCATACGCTGTGAAAGACCCACTTCGGACAATGATCGTATAAATTAACGGATATGAGAAGCGAACCCGCTTGACATAGCAATGTCTCAATCAGGCAGTCGTCCTCTATTGAACGTCACAAACAGAGCATTCGTTTTCCACTGAGGGGCCATATAAAATTGAAGCGAGGTGTTCATACATGAAGAAAGAGTATGAAAAGAGTCTGCACAGAAGCGGAGTTTAGTTAATATGCTGAAGAAGAGCCATAAGTTTACGTTCACAATCCGCCCTGTGCTGCAACTTGACCTCCTCGGACTGTATACGCCACACGTCTGTATTCGACAGCCTCGAAGGTAATATCATACTCAAGACATCATCAACCAATGTGACTCCTTCGATGCCCTCGATGACCCGCGGCCTCTTGACGTCAAGAGCTTCAAGCTTTTCTTCCCAGAGCTTCGCATACGACCACATCACACCATCGTCAACATCCGCTGGGAGAGGTGAAGGGAAACCATGAAGTTTGGAGTGGCGGAGCTGATCGCCAGCCTCGCTTTTTTCAAGAGCCCAACCTTCTAATCGGCCTCCGAGACCATCGAAAGACCGCAGGAATTCATACATCGGATGCATGATGCCGGAGAAATCATAATCGAGCAGGCCTGTGATGCTGGCATTGGTTGGGTCCACAAGGATGTTGGTCGGTGCTGGTGCTTGTCAGCAGACATGATGCGCAACTGCATAGAAGATAAAACACTTACAGAAATCCGCATGAGTTATGCATTTTTCGGCTCTAGAGCTCAGGCCCGTGAATGCAAGAGGGATGCGCTCGGCTACGAATTTGTCAATTTTGTCTCGTACGCCACTGGCGTGCCAGCCTTGGATGTATTTGTTGTCATCCGCCAGCTTCAACGCAATACGGAATTCAGCAAGGAAGTATTCCTCAAAGGTAGGCCACGGACCATCTCCGAGCGAGGGGAATTGGCCGCTAATGAGTCTGCCATTGGCATCGAAGGTGACGCCTCCGTAGCCGGTGATCCCATCCGGGAGCTCGTAAAGTTGGAATGCGTTGATGATCTCTGCCGTTTGCGCAAAGAGCTTGTCCCTGCTCGCGTTCACAGGAGAGCTTTCAAGATATTTATCAACCGTGATACCGCCCATGCATTGTTGGAGGATATACCCAAATGATGATCCAGCAGCGACGGTGCCCCAATCGTAAACGTCCGGGACGATGGAATGATGATTGGTGTCCTTCAGAGCTGCGGACGCAAGGGTAATCATACCGACCTCGTTCTCCGTTCGGTTGAAAGCATGCATGGTTTCGGACAGAGCATTGGAAAGACGTAGGACGGGTTGCCGCGTCCCAACGGGAACTTGACGGCAAGAATATCGGAGGGCTTTAGTCACGATTTGCCCTTCGGTGAGCGGATGCGGTAAATCAATGCGGTAGACGAAGTTGTTGCTCTTGAACGGGCTCTCTGGGCTGTACCCAAGCGGCGTGATAATAGTCTCTTCCTGCAAGTTGTCAGACTGAGCTTCAAACGAGCGCATATGTGAGGCTTAACAATGTCTGTGAAGCTGTCCCCAAGTATTTGTTGAGCGAACGCCAAGCGCTCCTCGAATTGGTCGTGATTAGGACCCATTGCCAGTGCTGAGCATATAATTTGATCATTGATTATAATGAGGGCACGTGATAGACACAGTGGGAGGTATTCTTATATCTGTAGGAAGATTGAAAATTGGCCGTTGATGATGTGCAGAGGGTGGGCGGAAGGATCCTTCCAAAGAATTGCTTTGTGACACACCTGTGTAACTCGAGCAAGGAATGCACGGATTCAAACTATCACCAATTGACGCAACTCCCGCGCAGTACTTTACAGGAGTTGCACTCGTGAATTTTCATGACTTGCCCTTCGAACCACAACTTGAGTGTGTTTAGGTTGAAGAATCTCGCCCAGACGACGACTCATAAATCGGAAACATCGGCACGATTCACGATCGCCATCCAGCTCGTAGAACACGCTTTCGTTTTAATGTTGTCTTGTCTTTCCTTGACCATTACCACTATTGGTGATCCTCAGCGATCACTTCAAGCCCTCCCAAGCATCCCTTGCTTGGTTGTTAATTTGGTCAATGCTGCAATAATCCCACCAACAACACACAGTGTGCCGCTGAGCATCGCTACCTGGAAGAAACTCTGGTACCGATCTACCATGACACCATTGATGGGTGGTCCAATGAGTCCGCCCAGGGCACTGATGGACATACCCATGCCCATATAAGTGCCGATGTCCCTGGGATCACTAGTGCACGTCGAAAAGGCAGCAGAGGCGCCGGAAATAATGGTTCCCGATGCGAAGCCAAAAAAGGCCGCATAAACGATCAGTCCAGCGTTGTCCGTTACCGAGTTCATAAAGAAGATGATGACGCCACTAACGATTCCCCCAAGCGCGAACATGTTGAGTCTGCCGTACTTGTCTGCAAGAACTCCGGGAATGATCCGACCGAATGTAGAGGCGGCGTTGAGGATAGCGAGCAGATATCCCGCCAATGTCGGATTCATACCTCTACTCACGGCGTAGGTAGGCAGGTAGAACAATGGCGTGAACATTCCGATGAACATAAAGAACAGCACAGCGATGAGTAGCATGTACGTCTTGTTCTTATATGCAGACGGGATCCAGAAACTGCTCTTTCTTGGCGGGAGTCGGGCGCGGACAGTCGCGACGGCGAAAATCATGAACGGTAGGATGAGAAAGCCGACGATGCGTACGGACCACCCAAATCCCAAAGATGAGCTGTTTAATAGCTCGGAGAGAACGATGGGAATGATCTGCGACGTTTCATCAGCCATACGCTTGCAAGCCTGAGTAACCCGAAACACATACAACACCGCCAATTGATGACCCGGACACGACAACTCCGAGAGCTGCTGCTCGCTTCTTGTCGAAGTACTGAGAGACAGCTGCGAAAGCCGGAAATTGAAGGAGGCCCATGACAATACCCATCAGCACGCCTTGTACTAACATGATCTGCCAATACTGGTCGCAAAGGCTCAGCATCATGAGCGCGAAGACGTAGAGTATTGCTGAAGGTATGATAATCTGCACTCTGTCAGCTATGTTCGAGAAGGACTTCATGTTCGTCCTACTGACCCAACTACCGAAAAAATCGAAAAGGGGTCCGCCAACCATGCCCGCAGCGAATTGTAGAAAGGAGGACAACGATCCAATCCAAGCAATATCACTCGGACTCTTGTCTTGAAGCTGATGGGAGAGGTAATACTCCTCAAAGGTGCCGAAGCTGTTGGAAAATCCAAGACAGCAGAAAAAGATTGCGGAACCTCCTGCAGCAACAAGCCAGGCCCTTGCACCGCCGTCAGGAGCAGTGTCAAGATGAGTTTCTTCATGTTCCAACTTTCCGCTCTTCAACGGCGATGGTTCATCGGGCTTGTCACTCGGAGCAGCACTAGCTGAGTCGTGCAGATGCTCACAGGTGGGTGCTGGACGCACTGATTTCTCCGGCGTCCGAGAAGAAGGCATAATTGTTGTCTGTGATTTGCGAATAACGATGGGGAGACTGTGAATATAACACTCTGACGATATGATGTGATGCCGCAAGGGAGGCGTGCGTCATCTCCGCAGGAGATGCGGTCGGAGAGGTACCCCCTTTTACCGGGGTCAAAATGATAGGAGTCTACCTTCCCGATGATGAGGAAGCCCATGGAGGGCAAGCCAGCTCCTCTGGGATACGCATGCTAGGTCGATCATGAGTGTGACCAACGCTCCCGTGCGTCGAAAATACTGCGCTGGTCAACTCAAGAAGCCGTATTTACGGCTTAAATCCGAGCATACGACGACACCATCATAGCACGTCGAACTATTACTGGCGCTTGGTGGCCGCTGTCGGAGGAACGGATGGCGGTACATTAAGACGCAACTTTCCAAGGTTGTTGAGCAATCAAGGTGAAAAGAAAGGCGGCACGGGGGAGGGTTGGATGGCCGGCATGCGGCACGGGCAAACGTTGGGAACGGGACGAGGCTGTAGTGATCCAGAACAAGCATCCGAACTCCATGGCGGTCTGCATCGGTGTGCGTCGCCCGAATCGAGGCCGTCTGCCGGGTGATATAATCTGATCCGATCAGGACGGTAGAGCTCTCCGACGCCGAATCATGCGTACAGTAAAACCTTAGGCGCTCCAGTCTGGGAGTCGTGAGGCAGAGTCATGACTGCAATAATGATGCTGAAGTGGAGGGGCTCCTCGATCGCCCGAGTGTGCCGCACGCATGCAGCAAGCAAGCGTCTTCAGCATACCTTGGACGCCTCATATTAATTGCCCACAGTTGTGCCGAGACGTTGGCGATTGGAGCTTCTTCTTGCCTGTCTGCGCGAATCACCATGTCGTTGCCTATGCATTATCAGATCGCGCCAAATATCTTTGGTGTTCAGTGGCATTGCTTAATTTGGGTCGTGGCGATGCTTGATGGAGTTTGGCGATGCACCCAAATTGCGCCACCACGTGCTCTCACCTCTGCTTTCCCACAAACCGTGCCGCGCAGTGCTATTGGGTGGAGATGGATGCGTGGGAGAGTGAAGTGGGTGTCAGGTGCATATCGTCCTACATCTCAACGGCGCCTTGCTTCCTCAGACCAGGAAGTTCGGTTTCGACCGACAATCGGACCGGCTCATCGAGACAGAGTGGCAAAGCGGCTGACCATGTCGGCGATGTTAGAGAGGAGGCTGCTGGGAACGCAGCGGACTCGCAGTGTCCGACCACCGAAGCCGGTCATTACAGAATGGGAAACGGATGCTTGTGTGCCTACGTGGCCAGGGATTCCTCCATGGTCTGGCAGTTTCGTCGCAATGGGAGGGCAGGTAGGGCAGGTAGGGCAGGCAACTCCACGCTTTCACAACCGTCAGTGTCCTTTCCTTGCCCGCTTGCAGGTGTCCAAGCCATCAGATCGGGGCGGCCTCTTTCTTCTGGTGCTCTTCCGGTGTAACACGTGACCTGATCATTCCAGATCTAGGGTTAGGGTTATCTCACGGATTGTCGCGATGAAAGATTAACTTCTACCTTAGTCAATAGAGGCACTATATGTACAATGAACGATGATTTTGAAGTGTGCGTAGGCCGGGAAGAAAAGGTCAAGATGACGCGTACAGCACCCATCGTTCATAGATGTGTATTGACCGAACTTCATTCGTACATGTGAGCGGGCACGTTAGTGATTATTACACGCTCGGCGGAGACTGCGTGCTGGCTAACGTCAAACACCAGAGCGCGGTCCACCCCACGGCGTGGTCCACGAATTACGTGTCCATAACAACAACAACTTCAACACGCGATGGCACCATCAAAACGCGTCCAAAAGAGCTCAAACGAAGGGAGTGTACTGCTTGCAATATCAGCTTTCAGATCAGGTGACATAGGATCTGTAAATGCTGCTGCAAAAACCTACGGTGTCTCAAAATCAACGCTGCTTCGGAGATTGAAAGGAAGTCCTGCTCGAGAGGACTATATGCCACAGAATAGCAATCTCACTC